GGCGGAGGGGGGAACAATGACCCTTGTGCTCCTTCACCCGACCCCCGATGGCCCCCCTTCCCTCCCTCCCTCTTTCCCCTCCAGCAAACGTGCCAGGGTCTCCCCCTCCCTCCCCAGCCGCCCCCTGGGAGACCCTGGGAAAGTCTTCCACACGCCCCGGTGTCAAAAGTCGCCTGTTCTTTGATATGCCCCCCCCCCGGGAGAGGGGCAACAGCTTCGCACCTGGCTGGAAGCTCACACGAGCCCTTCACACGCTCCGCGCGGCTCTCCCCCCCCCCTTCCTTGCAGTTTGGCGAACCACAGCTGGACGGGGGTGGGGGCGGGGGGAAGAGATTGCACACTCGTGGGAGATGCACGAGCGCCGGGCGAGGGAGCCAGATGTGCCGAGCGGCGGCGGCGGCGGCAGGGGGGGGTCTTAGGGGGCCCTCTGCACATGCTCAGAGGCAGGGGGCTGCTTGAGTTTCCCCTGCATGGAGGAATCCTGGAGTCCTGCTTTGCTTTGCACAGTTTTAAATTTCAGTTTGCATCCTTGGAATATTTTAAGTTATTTTTTTTCTCTCTCTCTCTTTGTCTTTTTATCATCTGGAAGCTGTCCAGAGACAGAAAGCCTACACATTTAATAATAATAATAATAATAATAATAATAATAATAATAATAATAATAATAATAGTTGGAAGAGACTTTGGAGGTCATCTAGTCCAACCCCCTGCTCAGGCAGGAAACCCTATACCATTTCAGACTAATCATCATCATCATCATCATCATCATCATCATAAAGTTGGAAGGGACCTTGGAGGTCATCTAGTCCAACCCCCTGCTCAGGCAGGAAACCCTACACCATTTCAGACTAATAACAACAACAACAACAACAACAACAATAATAATAAATCCTTATGAAATTTAAATAAAGCCACCCATCGGAGCTGGAAACGTTGAGAGTACAGTCAGTTCTCCAGTTATGACCCCAATTTTATGTTGCTAAGTGAGCCCTTTGTTAAGCGGAACGTTTGTCCCCATTTTACAACCTGCCTTGCCACCATCGTTAAACTGAAGCGCTGCAGTCAACAAGTTTGTCCCACGGTCGTTAAGCGAATCCTGCTTCCCCCATGGACTTTGCCCGTCAGACGGCTACCAAAACTGGGTCACGTGACCCAGGGACACCACAACCGTCATAAATGCGAGTCCCTTGCCAAGCGTCCAGATTTTGATCACGTGACCCTGGGGAGGCCGCAACGGTCGTAAGTGTGTGCAAAACGGTCCTAAGCCCCTTCTTTCAGTGCTGTCGTAACTTTGGAACAGTCACTAAATGAACCGTCGTAAGTGGAGGACTAGCCGGAGGGTTGATCAACCTCAGCAGCTGATCAACCTCAGAATTCTGGGCAGAGTTGAAGTCCACCCGTCTTCCGGATGCTGAGGTTGATGAACACTTTGATGAACCTTGACAATTTTAAGCAATGCTGGCTGTGGAATTCTGGGAGTTGAAGTCCACATACCTTAAAATTGTCAAGGTTGAGATACACTGAGAGACAGAGCATGTGCAGAGAGCAGATAGACTGATTCTCTTATACCGTAAATGTGGGAAGAAAATACTTTAAATCGTTACAACGCTTCAGTTTCCCGTCTTGGCTGAGGGCTGCCATCCAGCTGTTCCTAACCGCGCATTGGTGGTTCAGTGGTAGAATTCTCGCCTGCCACGCGGGAGGCCCGGGTTCGATTCCCGGCCAATGCAATGGGTGTTTTTGCTGCTCTCTTGCGTCACAGCCTTTGCTTGTGTTCATGCTGTTGCATACTGTAGCAATTTCCTTTCCACTTCCTTTAATTTATTCGTTTGTATACATTGAGAACACCTGCAAAAGGGGACAAACTCCTTGTGTGTCCACTCACACTTGGCCAATAAAAAAATTCTATTCTATTCCATTCTATTCCATTCCATTCCATTTCATTCTTATTTTTTATTATTTCTTATTCTATTCTATTCTACTCTACTCTATTCTATTCCTTATCTATTCTATTCTATTCCTTATTTCTGTTCTATTCCTTACTTCTATTCCATTCCATTTTTATTTCTTATTTCTTATTCTATTCTATTCTATTCTATTCTATTCTATTCTATTCTATTCTATTCCTTATTTCTGTTCTATTCCTTACTTCTATTCCATTCCATTCTTATTTCTTATTCTATTCTATTCTATTCTATTCTATTCTATTCTATTCTATTCTATTCTATTCTATTCTATTCCTTATTTCTATTCCATTCCATTCAATTCTTATTTCTTATTATTTCTTATTCTGTTCTGTTCTATTCTATTCTATTCTATTCTATTCTATTCTCCATGGGTCGATTTGCAGGGAGAGAAGGCATCTTGGCCAATAAAATCCCTCTTTTTTTCTAGAAAAAAAATGCACCCGATTAATCTCTGGCAAAATCTTTTTTTGTTTTTGTTAGATAAACCGTACCAAAAAAAAAAAAGTCAGTTGCATTGGCCGGGAATCGAACCCGGGCCTCCCGCGTGGCAGGCGAGAATTCTACCACTGAACCACCAATGCGACTACAACAAATATTTGAGAAGATTCCTTGTCTTCTCTGCCGTTCCAGTCTGTTTTTTTTTTTTAAATATATATAGATTTGAGGTTTTACACAGCTGCCCATCTTACAGACACGTGACTTTTTTTCCTCTTTCCCCAGTCTTGAAAAAGGGCTAAAGTTTTCTTCCGCTTTTCTTTCCATTCCTGATGACTTCAGGGAGATCCCCCCCCCAATTTTCCTGGGCCTGCGGAAAGCCACCTGCCCCTCCCAATTCCAGATGTGGAGTGGTCCATGGGGGGGGGGGAGGGAAGGGTCCTCGACTTACCACAATAATTAGGGCCAGAATGTTCATTGGTGGGCCAGAATTATTGAGTCAAGCGATTTCACCCACCTGTTTTGCCAAGATGGCAAAGCGAATCTCTGTGGTCGTTAAGTGAATCGTGTGGCCGTTAAACGAATCCAGCTTTTTTTCACCTCCCTCCCCGTTGACTTTGCCTGTTCAGGATGCCGCAGACATCGGAAATACACGCGCTTGAATGTGGATCATGGGGAATACGTTGCCGTTGTATCTGTGAGGACTGGTGATAAGCCACCATTTTCAGGGCTGTTGTAACTTTGAAACGGTCGTTAAACGAATGTTTGGGTGGAAGGCTACCTGTGCAAACGCTTGGCGCTTAGCCAGGCCGAAAGATTTCGAGTTAAGTTTTTCCAAAGCCCCTGAAGGCAGGAGAAGAAGCAACGGATGGAAACTCATCAAGGAGAGAAGCAACCTGGAACTAAGGAGAAACTTCCTGACAGTGAGGACAATTAACCAGTGGAACAGCCTGCCACCAGAAGTGGTGGATGCTCCAACACTGGAAGTTTTTAAGAAGAGACTGGACAGCCATTTGTTTGAAGTGGTATAGGGTTTCCTGCCTAAGCGGGGGGGGGGGTTTGGACTAGATGACCTCCAAGGTCCCTTCCAACTTTGTTGTTGTTGTTATTATGTGGGTTAAAAGAAAGCGAAGGAAGGGAGAAAACAAAAAAAATGTAGGAATGGGTTCCCCATCCTGGTCCTTTTTGGCTGCCCAGTCCTTCGAGGGAGAGAAGGAAGGAGGGAAAGAGAGAAACAGCTAAAGAACAAAAGAAAGAGAAAGAGAGAGGGAGGGAAGGAGGGAAGGAAGGAAGAACAGAGAGAAAGAAAGAACCAATGAATGAAAGAAAGAGAAAGAGAAGGAGGGAGGCAGGCAGGAAGGAAGAACCAAGGAATGAAAGAGAGAAAGAGAGGGAGGGAGAGAAGAAGGAAGGAAGAAAGACAGGGAAGGAGAGAGAAAGAGAAAAGGAAGGAAAGAAGGAATAAAGAAGGAATAAATAAAGAATAAAGAAAGAGAGAGAGAGGAATTAAGGAAGGCAGGGAGGGAGGGAGGGAGAGATAGAGAGAGGAAGGAAGGACAAAAGAATGAAAGCAAGAGAGAGAGAGAGAAAGAGCAAATAAAGGAAAAAAGAAAAGAATGGGAGGGAGGGAGGAAGGAGATTGGAATAAGAAGGGAGGGAGGGACAGAGGAAGGAAGGAAATGGGATGGAGGGAGCGAGGAAGGGAAGGAAGGAATGAAGGAAGGAAGAAAGAAAGGAAGAAAGAAGAAAGAAGCAGGGGGAGGAAGAGGAAGGGGAAGGGAACAGGGAAAGAAAGAAAAAAGAAAAATAGATAAAAAACAAAAAAAGAAGGAAAGTGGAGTGGGAAACGGGGAAAAAGAAAGAGAGAGAGAGAAAGAAAAGAAAAGAAAAGAAAAGAAGAGGAAGGAAGGGGAAGGGAACAGGGAAAGAAAGAAAACAAGGAAGAAAATAGATAAATAAGAAAAGGAAGGAAGGAGGAACAGGAAATGGGAGAAAGAAAAAGAGAGAGAAAGAGAGAAAAAGAGAGAGAGAAAAAGAAAGAAAGAGAGAGAGAGAAAGAAAGAGGGAGGGAGGGAGAGAGAAAAAGAGGGAGAGAGAAGTAAGAAAGAAAGAGAAAGAAAAAGATAGAAAGAAAGTAAGAGAGAGAGAAAGAAAGAAAGAAAGAGGGAGGCAGAGAAAAAGAGGGAGAGAGAAGAAAGAAAGAAAGAAAGTGAGAAAGAAAGAGAAAGAAAGAAAGAAAGAAAGAGAAAGAAAGAAAGAAACAAAGAAAGAAAGAGAAAGAAAGTAAGAAAGAAAGAAAGAGAAAGAAAGAAAGAAAGAAAGAGAAAGAAAGAAAGAAAGAAAGAAAGAAAGAAAGAAAGAAAGAAAGAAAGAAAGAAAGGAAGGAAGAAAGGAAGGAAGAAAGGAAGGGACACCTTCCTTGCCCTCCCCGCGACCCCTCGCCTTCCTTCTCTTGGGCAATGGGAGGAGGGGGCGGCCGGCCTTTTCACACCTCCGGGCTCCTGGGGAGGGGTCTCGGGGGAGGGCGGGGGGGGACGAGGGCTTAAAGGGGCCGCACTCGGCGCATCCCGGGGACCAGAGGCGGCCGCGGGGCGGAGGATGCTGGCCACCGAGAGCTCGCCGCCCGGAGGGGCGAGAAAGGTAACGGCTTTTCCGACCCGGGGTTGGGGGAGAAGTTCATTCCCACGTTACGCTGCTCTTTCTGGCTTCGCTGCCGTCAGGAAAGAAAGGCCGGGACGGGGAAGGGGGCTTCCCCGGCTAACCATGATTAAACTAACCGCGATGGGGGAAGAAAGCTAGGTTAGAAAAAAAAAAAAGGACCGGGAGAGAATCCTGGCCCGGGAAATTGATTGATTGATATAGATTGATTGATTGATTATTGGCCATCAAGTCATTTTGTAGTCTTCTACGAAATATACCCTTTCGTTTTCCGATCCTGAAGTTTGGGATTTGCAGATAGATGGTTGAAGGCAGCCTGATTTTCATCGTGGTTATGGCTTTGATTTGGGGGTGGTGGGGGGTGTGTGGAGGTAATTATTTTATTATTTTTTATTCTTATTCTTATTTCTGCTATCGTGTGTTTTTAATCTCCTGTAAGACGCCTTGAGTCACCTTGAGCGAGGCAGCAAGAATGTACTTTAAAAAAAAATAAATTAAATAAATGAATAAATACATACATACATACCTACGTAGATAAATGAATATTGTGTTTTTAATCTCCTGTGTGACGCCTTGAGTTGCCTTGAGCGAGGCGGCGGCGATATATTTTTTTAAAAAATAAAATAAATGAATGAACAAATGAACGAATGAATAAATAAACAAATAAATAAAATGAATGAACATGGTGTTTTTAGTCTCCTGTAAGACGCCTTGAGTCGCCGTGAGCGAGTAGGCAGCAATATAATTTTTAAAAAAATAAAAATAAATGAATGAATGAATAAATAAATAAATAAATAAAATATTGTGTTTTTAATCTCCTGTAAGACGCCTTGAGTTGCTGCAAGCAAGCGGCAATATAAATTTTTTTAAAAATAAAATGAATGAATGCGTGAATAAATATTTTTTTTTAAAAAAAATTGAATGAATGAATGAATGAGTGAATAAATGAATAAAATAATCTGTAGGAATGAAGACCCTTTCCCCCCACACACTTTATTCTAAAGCAGTTTTCCCTGCAGACTTCAACTCCCAGAATTCTCTGGGAGTTGAAGTCCACAGGTCTTAACACAGTTGTTGAAATTGAGAAGCACAGCTGGAATTATTTTAATGAAAAGTTCACCTCGGGGGGGGGGGGAACCGATCAGATATCATGAAGACATTAATAATAATAATAATAATAATAATAATAATAATAATAATAATAATAATGTGGCAAAAGCAAGCAAGGGTAGTACCAATAGTAATAGGCTCCTTGGGTGCAATCCCAAAACAACTGGAGCACCATTTGAACACCATTGGCATTGACAAATTTGCTATTAGTCAATTGCAAAAGGCGGCCTTATTAGGAACTGCTTCCATCCTGCGACGATATCTGTAATACCATCAAACATCCACATCTACCTATCCCAGGTCCTGGGTAAGGACTCGATAGGTAGACAAAATGCCAAATCCAGTCTGAACATCTGGCTGACTGTGCGATGATCGATAATAATAATAATAATTCGCTATTAGTCAATTGCAAAAGGCGGCCTTACTAGGAACTGCTTCCATCCTGTGACGATACCTGTAATACCATCAAACATCCACATCTGCCTATCCCAGGGTAAGGACTCGATAGGTAGACAAAATGCCAAATCCAGTCTGAACATCTGGCTGACTGTGTGATGATCCATAATAAAGTTGGTTGGGGACCGGCCATTGGTTGCCTCCTTCCTGTCCCTGGAGGCTTCAACCCCCATGTGGGAGCGGACCCCCCTCCAGCTAATACCTACAGGCTGTCCTCTGAAACCCCCCCCCCCCACACCCACATCCTCAGTGTCATTGTAACCCAGCACGATTGTGTGAATCCACCCCGGTCAACTGCCCCATCCCTTCTTTAGGTCCAGAATGCAAAGGCTAAATAATTCTAAATTTTCTAGTGCATTTAGAATTAACCAGGGGAAAGAGGGCATTAGCAAACAGGCCGGGCAGAGACCTCCAGGGATCCGTATAGCCCACCCCACCCAGGGGTCAACCCCCAATTTTTTTTTTCTCTCTGCACAGATGCTGAAACCCTTGGTGGAGAAACGGCGCCGGGACCGGATCAATAAGAATCTGGAGGAATTGCGCCTACTTCTCCTGCAGAAAACCCACTGCCAGGTCAGCGAGTGACGCCCCCTATCCCTGCCCCACCCCCAGGAAGAGTGGGATAGGATAGAAAAGGATAGGACAGGATAGGATGGGGTAGAATAGGATAGAATAGAATAGAACAGAACAGAATAGAAAATATGGAATAGAATAGAATAGAATAGAATAGAATAGAATAGAATAGAATAGAATAGAATAGAATGGAATGGAATGGAATGGAATGGAATGGAATGGAATAGAATAGAATAGAATAGAAAATATGGAATAGAATAGAATAGAAATAGAATGAAATAGAATAGAATAGAATAGAATAGGAATAGAAATAGAATAAAAAATATGGAATGGAATAGAATAGAATAGAATATAGAATAGAAATAGAAATAGAATAGAAAATATGGAATGGAATGGAATGGAATAGAATAGAATAGAAAATATGGAATGGAATGGAATGGAATGGAATGGAATAGAATAGAATATAGAATAGAAATAGAAATAGAATAGAAAATATGGAATGGAATGGAATGGAATAGAATAGAATAGAATAGAATGGAATGGAATGGAATGGAATAGAATAGAATAGAATAGAATAGAATAGAATAGAATAGAATAGAATAGGAATAGAATATATGGAATGGAATGGAATAGAATAGAATAGAATAGAATAGAATAGAATAGAATAGAATAGGAATAGAATATATGGAATGGAATGGAATGGAATGGAATAGAATAGAATATAGAATAGAAATAGAAATAGAATAGAAAATATGGAATGGAATGGAATGGAATAGAATGGAATAGAATAGAATAGAGAATAGAAATAGAAATAGAATAGAAAAATGGAATGGAAGAATAGAATAGAATAGAATAGAATAGAATAGAATAGAATAGAATAGAATGGAATGGAATAGAATAGAATAGAATAGAATAGAATAGAATAGAATAGAATAGAATAGAATAGAATAGAATAGAATAGAAATGGAATGGAATGGAATAGAATAGAATAGAATAGAATAGAATAGAATAGAATAGAATAGAATAGAATAGGAATAGAATGGAATGGAATGGAATGGAATAGAATAGAATAGAATAGAATAGAATAGAATAGAATAGAATAGAATAGAATAGGCAGGGACCTTGCAGGTCTTCTAGTCCAGCCCCCTTCTGGGAGTCGAAGTCCACAAGTCATCCAAGGGCCAGGTTTGAAGACCCCTGATCTGGATAAACACACCTCCATCAAGAGATAAGAGCTCCCTGCAGCCCAGCTTAATCTCCCAGTCTTCAAATTGAACCCCCTTCAAGTCCATTGAAGTGCACGATCCATTTACCCCTTTACCTGCCAGCAGAGGGCGCTCCCGTTCTACCTGAGCCAGCTATCCTTAAAATGGCAGACTAACCAGGGGCGCTGGACCCTCCATCAGGCGGGAAGGGAGGGCTGACTAGGGAATTCTGGGAGCTGACATCCGCCCCTCTTAAAGGGGCCAAGGTTGAGAAAAAAAAAACAAACCACATCCATCCACTCTCATTATTTCATCATCTGCTCCTCCTTCCTCCCTCTGTTGCAAAGAAGATCTATTCCGTGTCTGCCAGTGGGGTGCAGATAGACTGCTCCCGGATGGGGAGGTTCTACCTGGAAGGCAGCGCCGGGAGTTTTGCGTTGCCCTCTTCTTCGACCCCTTTTCTTCACAGACCCTGAAGAACCCCAAAGTGGAGAAGGCGGAGATCCTGGAGCTCGCCGTGAGATACCTGCAGGAGAGGCAGAAGGCAGCAGAAGCCCAGGGTAAGGAGAGGGAAGCAAGAATAGAATAGAATAGAATAGAAGCAGAGTTGGAAGGGACCTTGGAGGTCTTCTAGTCCAGCCCCCTTCTGGGAAATAAAAAAGGAAGGAAGCTTCAGATGCAAGATGGGAACTCTTGACATCTAGGTGTCCATGCCCGAAATTTCCCTAAATCCTAGAAATTGGCAACAATTTCAAGCTTTTGAAACGATCTTTTCTCAGTTTTTGGACTCTGTTTTGTTGGCCTGCAGGAGGAAACACTACAAGCAGAAAAATTTAACTTGGGTGGACTTCCACTCCCAGAATTCCCCAGCCAGCCTGCTTTAAGATGGGTGGACTTCAGTTCCCAGAATTCCTCTGCCAGCATGTTTTAAGACAGGTGGACTTCCACTCTAGCCTGCTGTCTGGGGAAACCTGTCTTAAAGCTGCTGAACATAGAATAGAATAGAATAGAATTAATAATAGAATAGAATAGAATTAATAATAGAATAGAATAGAAATTAGAATAGAGTAGAGTAGAATAGAATAGAATAGAATAGAATAAGAAATTAGAATAGAATAGAATAGAATAAGAAATTAGAATAGAATAGAATAGAATAGAAATAAGAATGGAATAGAATAAGAAATTAGAATAGAATAGAATAGAATTAATAATAGAATAGAAATTAGAATAGAGTATAGAATAGAATAGAATAGAATAGAATAGAATAGAATAGAACAGAATAGAAATAAGAATAGAATAGAATAGAAATTAGAATAGAGTATAGAATAGAATAGAACAGAATAGAAATAAGAATAGAATAGAATAGAGTATAGAATAGAATAGAAATAAGAATAGAATAGAATAGAAATTAGAATAGAGTATAGAATAGAATAGAATAGAACAGAATAGAAATAAGAATAGAATAGAAATAAGAATAGAAATAAGAATAGAATAGAATAGAAATTAGAATAGAGTAGAGTAGAATAGAATAAAAAATTAGAATAGAATAGAATAGAAATAAGAATAGAATAGAATAGAACAAGAAATTAAAATAGAATAGAATAGAACTGGAAGGGACCTTGGAGGTCATCTAGTCCAGCCCCCTGCTCCAGCAGGAGAACCTACACCCTTTCAGACAAGTGCCTGTCTAGTGTCACGTGAGATTCTTTGCTTCGCGCCATGCAGCTTCTTCCACTTTTGCCGGCAAAACCTGCCCGTTTTGGCTTTTCCGAACCTGGAAAGCAGCCGGTCTCCGGATCCGGTGCCAGGTGGGGGCTGCCCTGCCTCGGGTTGGCCGTGACCAGCTTCCTCCCGGCTGTGTGATTTTTTCCCCTGTTCCAGGTGCGAATCCTTCTGAAGATGGCGGTCTGCAGACCTGCTACGCCACGGGCTTCCGGGCGTGTTTCGGACACCTGGCCTCCTTCGTCCGACGAAGCCCCCTGCCCGTCCAGAGGCACCTGTGGGAGACGCTGGGCCTGTATCTCGCCTCCACGTCGGAACCGTCAGCCCCGGATTGGACCCCGTCCCCTTTTTCTCCCAGTTCTTCCTCTGAAGAGTCACCCGCCGGGACCCCCGAGGGTTTTGCCCCCCCTTTGCAGCCGAGGAGAACTTTGGCATGCTCAGAGGTGGCTTCCTGCAGCACAGGACAGGTGGGGAGCCAGCCGAGGGACCCCCGAGCCCCCAAAAGGGAGGCACCGGTCAAAAACATCCCCCTGCAGACCCCCCTCTGGCGTCCTTGGCCCTAGGAGGGGGGGACATATTCCCACGCACCCCCCTGACCTCCCCCTCTTTGCTCCTTCCAAAACGAAACCGTCCAAACTGACTTTACAATTCGCAGCTGTCCTGTGGCATTCTCCGACGGACGGAATTCATAGGGACTAGTGACTTGGCTTCCCATTTTGCCCAATGCTCAGTTGCAACGGGTCTGGCTGAAGGCGTTATGGGATCCCAGCTAGAGGCGTGACGTAGAAAGTCTGGTTTGTGCCCCAGGATGTTGGCTTCAGCGGCAGCCGCAGCTAAATCAAGGTTTAGCCTAAGCTGGGAATTCAAGTAACAAGGATGGCTGGGTTTGTTTCTTTGAATGGATCTTTTATTTTTTTTAAAAAAATATATTTTTTTAAAAGTTTTAAAGGCCAGGGCACCCAATCCCCCAATATAGGAAGTCCTCCATTTACAACCTTTAGCGATCGCTTGAAATGGCAACCCCCACCGAAAAAAGGGAGGGATGACTGCGCTTCACACTTACGACCGGCGCTTCACGCTTACGACCATCGGTCACAATTTGGGTGCTTGGCAACTGGCGTGTGCGTATGATGGTTCTGGCTTCCCAGCATTGTGTGATCGCTGTTTGTGATTTTTTCCCAACCAGCAAATATTTGTCTGAAATGGTACAGGGTTTCCTGCCTGAGCAGGGGGTTGGACTAGATGACCTCCAAGGTCCCTTCCAACATTATTATTATTATTATTATTATTATTATTATTATTATTATTAAATTCAGTGGAGGGAGGCTTAAAAACTGCTGTGATTCGCTTATAACAAATACAGCAAAAAGGGTGGTAAAACCGCCCTCACTTAACAACCGCAGAAAATCTGGGCCCAACTGAAGGTCGTAAATGGAGGACTATCTATAATACCTTTTCGATTTAAGACTCCTGGATCCCGCAGAGTTTTTGCAGGTAAGTAAAAGAATTTTGGGGAAACCAGCCAGTTCAACTGCTCAGCCAAGTATGGGACCCTCTTCCCCCAAAAAACAGCCCTGGGGAAGGAAGAAATTGGGGAGGGGGGCAGCTCAACGTAACCTCACGGGGTGCTAATTGTGGGGGGGGGAACTGGAAACCACGCTGTGTCACTTTGAACCCCTGCCGCGAACCAGCCTGTCAATCTAAATCAGTGGTTTTTCAACCTGGGCCACTTTAAGACGTGTGCACTTCAACTCCCAGAATTCCCCAGGGAATGAAATCGCTGGCAAAATATATATATTTTTCTTTAGACACACACACACACACACCCAGAGACACAAAAGGTCAGTTGCATTGGCCGGGAATCGAACCCGGGCCTCCCGCGTGGCAAGCGAGAATTCTACCACTGAACCACCAATGCATCTGCTGCAGATGTGCTGGATAAGCCATCCCCTTATGCTCTGCTCCCGCCTGTTTTTGTTTTTTTTTTAAACTTATGGTGTGACTAATTGAACAACTGCGGTGATTCAGCTTAACAACTGCCGCAAGGAAGGACATAAAAATGGGGCACGATGGGGTTTTTCTGCTTGAGCAGGGGGCTAGACTAGAAGACCTCCAAGGTCCCTTTCAGCTCTATTCTATTCTATTCTTTCTGTTTTCTATTCTATTCTATTTCTTATTTCTCTTCTTTCTGTATTCTGTTGTATTCTATTCCTTATTTCTATTCTATTCTGTATTCTATTCTTTCTGTATTCTGTTCTGTTCTGTTCTATTCTATTCTATTCTATTAGCAATTGTCTTGCTTAGAAGTGAAAAGTTTGGGCTCAACTGTGGTTAAGTCAAGGACTCTGTATTGACTTCTGATAGTTTTGCATGGGTGTGTAAATATATCCTAATATTATTTGGGGGCACTGTTCCTGTTAGAAGATAATACATAATAATATAGTTGTATCTTATCTAATGCTGCTAAATGTGCAAGAGCTCTCAAAGGGAGTTGACTTAAAATTTATATGGGTGAATGGAATAAATGATAGGACGAATAAACTGAGGATTTTTTTCCCCATGTCCTGTAGGAAAATGACTTTTTAAGCCACGATTGTTGTTCTATATAGCTGTATCTTTTAAGGAGCTAGCCAGCTGTTGTGTAGAAACTCAAAAGACATTTGCACGTAATAAAACATGCGCCAGTTTCTGTTGAAAACTAGGTTAAAATCAGTGGGTTTTTTTCAACCTCAGCGGCTTTTAAGATGGGTGAACTTCAACTCCCAGAATCCCCCAGCCAGCAAAGATGGAACTGATGACATTACAATGTCGGTCTTTTCATTTTCAATTGCTAACACACCGTTTCCACCCAAAGCGCCACGATCACTTGAGCAAAAATCTTTGCAATTACCGACACTGCCATCGATGTGTTGGTGAAGGCTGTTTGCCCCAGTATATTCACACTAAATCTTATTTTCTTTTACGTATATGTGGTTGATCCCTTTGAGAATTCCTTTTCGAGTTCTTCAGTCACTCCCTTGACAAGTTTATAGTCCTCATGGAGGAAAAGGGTTTGGTTCCTTTTCACCCAAGCTGGCAACCTTCCCATCACACCAGCTTTGTAGGGGGTTCTACATTTTGTGGTGTCAAAACATAGCTTGTTTCATCCCAATCTCGGATATCTTTCAAGTTTCTTCCTTGGAAAGCTGGAACTCTTAGGAGCAGGACTTGAACTCAAGCCAGACAAATTCTTTGACTCACTTTCAGCCGTGGACCAGCATTCGAGAAGCTGCAATACAGCTTGTTTCGGAGAGACGCCAGTAAACAACCTTTAATTCTTCGTTTATTGTGGCTTTTCCATCGTCCTGTTTGGCTGGTTTAGAGTTTTGAGGCATGGGGCGAACCCCGGAAACTGGTTAGCTGGGCCTCGTGAAATGGACAAATTAACTTAATATTGTACATGAATTGTGCTGTGCAAATGTAGCCGCAGATTCTTAAAAGGCCAGAAATGAATGAGGCAGTAACGGAAATGCAGATATTGAACCATAACTGAACGCAAAATTTTTGTGGCGAAGCAAGTCAGCGGCTCAGCGAGTTTTGGCCCATTTTACCATTTGGGGATGATGCAATGGTCGCTAGAGTGAAAAATGGGTATATGATGGTATAGGGTTTCCTGCCTGAGCAGGGGGTTGGACTAGATGACCTCCAAGGTTCCTTCCAACTTTATTGTTGCTGTTGTTGTTGTTATTATTATTATTATATGGTATAGGGTTTCTTGCCTGAGCAGGGGGTTGGACTAGATGACCTCCAAGGTCCCTTCCAACTCTTATTATTATGACTATTATTATTATTATATGGTATAGGGTCTCCTGCCTGAGCAGGGGGTTGGACTAGATGACCTCCAAGGTCCCTTCTGAGTCTGTTACTCTTTTTTTCCTTCCTTCCTTCCCTCCCTCCCTCCCTCCTTCCCTCTCTTCTCCAACACTGGAAGTTTTTAAGAAGAAACTGGACAGCCATTTGTCCGAAATGGTATAGGGTTTCCTACCTGAGCAGGGGGTTGGACTAGATGACCTCCAAGGTCCCTTCCAACTATTATTATTGTTATTATTATTAGTCTGAAATGGTATAGGATTTCCTGCCTGAGCAGGGGGCTGGACTAGATGACTTCCAAGGTCCCTTCCATCTTTATTATTATTATTATTAGTAGTAGTAGTAGTAGTTTGAAATGGTGTAGGGTTTCCTGCCTGAGCAGGGGGTTGGACTAGATGACCTTCAAGGTCCCTTCCAACTTTATTATTATTATTACTAATAATAGTAGTAGTAGTAACAGTAGTAGTCTGAAATAGTATAGGGTTTCCTGTCTGAGCAGGGGGTTGGACTAGATGACCTCCAAGGTCCCTTCCAACTTTATTATTATTATCATTATTATTATGTCCCTTTTTTCAGTGCTGTTGTAACTTCGAATAGTCACTAAGCGAACTACTGTAGGGCAAGGACTGCCTGTATAAGGGTAGCTGGGATGTTCCGCGGAAAAGATTTTAAAAAAAAAATGCCAAGAAATTGGGAGGAAGGCGTATCAGAGCTGTTCGTCGCCTGATTTTTTTAAAAAAAATAAACAAAAGGCAGGATATAAATCAATAAATGAAATGAAAAGCGATAAATAACATGCCGGTGGTGAGAGTGTGACCGAAACACACCCATGGGTGCCATAAAAAGGGGGCTCCCCTCTCCAGTTGCAGCTGACACATTTAAACTTTTGACTCATTGAGGAATACTAATACTCATTTATTAAACTTATATATCGGCCACCTCCCAGCAGCTCTGAAAATTGAGTGCGGGAGACAAACTCCATCTGCAGTGGGGCAGCACCGAAACGGAATAAACAAAGTTAAAATGGATTCAAAGGTTCTAGTCCTCGTGAGCACTTGGTTGCAGTTCCAATCCCAGGGCAACCAGTGGCCCAGGAGTTTGTTCAAAGAAAAGAACCTTTTATTTTCCTCAAAAGGAAATCTGGATCTGTGCTCCCTTCTAGGGTTATTTTATTATTATTTATTGAATTTATTTGCTGTCCATCTCGGTGACTCTTGGAGTTCTCTTCGCTACAATGCCGGCTAGAGAAGACTGGTTAACTGGGTTTACGTGCGCGCAAGCCTTGAGCGAGGAGGACCGATATCAACAGGGAATCCATGGTGGAAATTTTTGCCATGGGGCCCAACCATATCCGCAATCCTCTAATGCAGTGTTTCTCAACCTTGACAATTTTAAGGCATTTGGACTTCAACTCCCAGAATTCCACAGCCAACATGCGTCTAATATGAATGAAAAACTAAATACAGGGGTGTGTCTCCGTTTCCTCAACTCTCTGCGGAGGCAGATATAAACGGTACTGGGGTGGTGAATCCACTTTGCAAAACAAGGGTGAATGGTAATTGAATGAGTCACTTTACTTAGGCAAACGACGCACATCCCTATAAGGCAGCTTTAAGACAGGGGGACTTCATCTCCCAGAATTCCACAGCCCATATGGAGGTCAGCAACCTCAGCCGCTTTAAGATGGATGGACTTCATCTCCCAGAATTCCACAGCCAATATGGGGGTCAGCAACCTCAGCAGCTTTAAGATGGGTGGACTTCAATTCCCAGAATTCCTCAGCCAACATGGAGGTTAGCAACCTCAGCAACTTTAAGATGGGTGGACTTCAATTCCCAGAATTCCTCAGCCAACATGGGCTCAGCAACTTTAAGACTGGCGGGGGGGGGCTTTAATCCCCAGAATTCCCCAACCTGATCCTTAATGGAGGTCAGCAACCTCAGCAACTTTAAGATGGGGAAAGTTTAACTCCCAGAATTCCCCAGATAGCATGGAGGTCAGCAACTTTAAGATGGGGCGGGACTTCAATTCCCAGAAACCCCCAGTCAATATGGAGGTCAGCAACCTCAGCAATTTTAAGACGGGTGGACTTCAATTCCCAGAATTCCCCAGTCAACATGGAGGTCAGCAACCTCAGCAACTCTTAAGAGGGGTGGACTTCAACTCCCACAATTCCTCAGCACAACATGGGCTCAGCAACTTTAAGACTGGCGGAGGGGAGGGACTTTAATTCCCAGAATTCCCCAACCTGATCCCCAATGGAGGTCAGCAACTTTAAGAGGGGTGGACTTCAACTCCCAGAATCCCCTAGGCCAGCCATGCAGGCTGGGAAATTCCTGGTGTGGGACGTCTATCCTTAAAGTTGCCAAGATTGAGAAACACGAATCTACGGATTCTCTACCCTGGATTTCTGAATTCTTCACACCAAAATCAACGTCGAGAATATAAGTCTGCTGTCTTAACGCCACCCAGAATTCTTGAGGCAGTTTTGGGGGGCAATCTGATCGCGCCCTGGGCTTGCGAAGTCTCACTTCAGGCCTGGTCTCCCCCAAAATTCTGGCAGCACCACCTTCGGCTCCTCATATCTTGCTGGCGATGTACGCGCAGAGAGCATCCCGGACCTTCTCGGACCGAGCGGCGGGTTTAATGCGCGTATCGGGGCGCTGCAGGGGCTGTTCGAACGTGGCGGCCAGCTGCTTGGCCTCAGCTTCCCACTTCTCCTCGTAGGCCTCCCCTTTCTCCTCACAGATGTTGTGCAGGACGCAACAGGCCGAGATGAGGCGGGGAAGATTCTCCACCGCGCAGTCGTTGCGCCCGGTCAGGCAGCGCCACCGGCCCTTCAGACGGCTGAAGGCTTCTTCCAAGGGCTCCTGGCATCGGCTCAGCATGGCGTTGAAGGACTCCTTGACCTCATCCAGATCTTCAGTGTAGGGCACCATCAACCATGGAAGGAGAGGGTAGGCCGGCCCTCCAAGGATGACGCGAGGGACCGATACGCCGCTGATCTCCACGGGAGCGGGAGGAAAAAGTGTCCCTTCCTGCCCTTTGGTGAACAAGGTGGACTTGTTGAAGATCTTGGCTTCGTGAGTCTTGCCGGGCCACCCCGCGCTCAGATGGGTGAACTTCCCTTGATAGTCCACCAAAGCTTGCAAGGCCATGGAGTAGTAGCCCTTGGTGTTGACGTACTCCGACGCCTGGTGAGGAGGACACAAGATGGGCATGTGCGTGGTGCCCACCACGCCCATACAGTTGGGGAACCCCCTGGCCTCAAAGCCCCCGACGGTGTCCGCCAGGCTGTTCCCCACGTTCACCGTGGAACGCATCAACACCCTCTGAATGGCCCGGCAGACTTCCAGCACCACCGAGCCGGCGGTGGACCTGCCAACGCCGAACTGGTTGCCTACGTCGCGGTAACAGACGGAGGTGGCCAGCTTCCAAATGGCGATGGCCACTCGCTTCTCCACGCTCAGCGGGATCCGCATCCGGGTCTTCTGGCGCTGCAAGGCCGGGGACAGCCGGGCGCAGAGGTCCAAGAAGGTCGCCTTGCGCATCCTGAAGTTCTGCAGCCACTTGCTATCGTCCCAGGTCTCCAGAACCGTCCGGTCCCACCACTCGGTGCTGCGCGGCCGAGCCCAGAAGCGTCTTTCGACCGAACGCAGGCGTCCCCCGCGCCGGAAGCCGGCGCTGCGGGTCTGTCTGGCCAGGAAGACCTCTTCCTCTTCGGCATCCTCTTCTTCTTCTCCTTCCTCCTCCTCCTCCTCCTCTTCCTCCTCCTCTTCCTTCTCCTCCTCCAGCTCGTCTTCTCCATCCTCCTCCGCTCCTCGCCGCTGTAGGGAGTGCAGGAAGGCCCACCGGCGGCGGGAGGCTGCGGCCGAAGAGGCTTCGCCACGGGCTCGTAAGTACTCCATCATCAGCGTGCCGGATTGCACCACGTACAAAAGGGCAGCGTCCTGTCGGGCAGCGTCCATGCTGGAGATTGAGAGAACAGAAACGACGCTTAAAAATGGTCCTAGACCCTTGGACCTTCCAGGACCGTCCCTGGCTTTTGTAGAAAGACCCCTCCCCTCCCTTCCCCAGATTAAAATATTCTTTATTTTTGAATACCTAAATATTTAACTTTTTTCACCATTTCTACCTCTGTTTTCTCTAGTATTTGTGGCTAGAGAAAATACTGGGTGAACAAGTGGATTTTAAATCTGAACTTTTTCTACTCGGCATTATGCCTGAAAAGACTAATAAGCAGAAATTATATTTAATCCTACACATCCCCACAGCAGCGAGGATAATTTTTGCGCAATATTGGAAGAATGAAGGCTTGCCATCAGAAGAAGAAATAATCAGGAAAATATTGGAATGTGCAGAGTTGGACAGGTTAACTCTGAGGTTGAAAGATAAAGAAGAGACAGACTATTATCAAACTTGGGACCTATTTTATTGTTGGCTAGAGGAAAGAATGAAGGATTAGGAATTGAACATGTATTAGCATAGCAAATTCCAGACAACTCGTTGATTGGAAAAATTAACATACGTTTATGAAAAAAAAAACCCAATAAAATCTTTATAAAAAAAATAAAAAAATATTCTTTATTTTTAATATTAACAAAAGAGGTAGGAGTGAATATTTCTCTTAAAGAACAGGACGTGACCTTTAGGACATAATAGCATGAGCCCACCACCACTGACACAAGGCTCACTACATTGCACAACCCCCTAGAGCAGTGGTTCTCAATCTTTTTAATGCCGCGACCCCCAACCGGTCGTAAGTCGAGGACTACTCAACCGGTCGTAAGTCGAGGACTACTCAACTGGTGCAGCACAGTTTGCAGAATTAGACTCTATTCAAGAGAGTCTATTCTATTGGCTTTCAAAAGCCAATAGAATCAAAGGGAGTAGCACAGCTAAGGAAAAGGGGGGAAAAAATGGCGGACTGCGTTGTTTGGCGACCCCCGTGAAATGGTCGTTCGACCCCAAATGGGGTCGCGACCCATAGGTTGAGAACCATTGCCCTAGAGCATCTCAATCAGAAGGTATAAAAAACCCACCGACTCTCAACTCCATTTGGTCAGCTGTCCCAGAACTACCTGCTGCTGTTGATTTTGCTCATCATTAAACCTCTTTTCCTACGCAGCCAGCCTCCATTTTATTTCCAGTGTTTCCCTCCCGGCTTGGGACTGGACCTGATTTTTCTTTCAACGTTTTCGTGGAGGTCTTTTTCAACCGCTCCACCTAGGCTGCGGAGGGGGAGTTATTATATCTTCTGATTTATTTTTTTTATTATGCATATCCCATCTTTATTATTTGTATCCACTGCTCAAGGCGGCGAACATACTTAATAGTCCTTCCTCTTTCTATCTAACACACAACAACAATCCTGTGAGGTGGGTAGGGCTGAGAGGGAGGCACAAGACCAAAATCACTCAACCGGCTTTCGTGGCTAAAGCGAGACTAGAACTCATCGTCTCCTGGTGACTGGCTCAAGGTCACCCAACTGGCTTTCTTGCCTAAGGCGGGATTAGAACTCACCGTCTCCTGGTGATTGGCCCAAAGTCACCCAGCCAGCTTTCATGCCTAAGGCAGGACTAGAACTCACCGTCTCCTGGTGATTGGCTTAAGGTCATCCATCTGACTTTCCTGCCTAAGATGGGACTAGAACTCACCGTCACCTGGTGATTGAGCCAAGTTACCCAGTCAGCTTTCAAGCCTAAATTGGGACTAGAACTCACCGTCTCCTGGTGATTGGCTTTCGTGCTTAAGACGGAACTAGAAATCTCCATCTCTGTTAACTGGCCCAAAGTCACCCAGTCAGTCATGCCTAAGGGACTAGAAGTCACCATCTCCTAGTGATTGGTCCAAAGTCACTCTCCTAGTTTTCATGCCTAGGGAGGAACTAGAACGCACCGTCTCCTGGTGATTGGCCCAAATTCACTCTCCTAGTTTTCATGCCTAGGGAGGAACTAGAACTCACCGTCACCTGGTGATTGGCCCAAATTCACTCTCCTAGTTTTCATGCCTAGGGAGGAACTAGAACTCACCGTCACCTGGTGATTGGCCCAAATTCACCCTCCTAGTTTTCATGCCTAGGGTGGAACTAGAACTCACTGTCGCCTGGTGATTGGCCCAAAGTCGCCCTCCTAGTTTTCATGCCTAGGGCGGAACTAGAACTCACTGTCGCCTGGTGATTGGCCCAAAGTCGCCCTCCTAGTTTTCATGCCTAGGGCGGAACTAGAACTCACTGTCGCCTGGTGATTGGCCCAAAGTCGCCCTCCTAGTTTTCATGCCTAGGGCGGAACTAGAACTCACTGTCGCCTGGTGATTGGCCCAAAGTCGCCCTCCTAGTTTTCATGCCTAGGGAGGAACTAGAACTCACTGTCGCCTGGTGATTGGCCCAAAGTCGCCCTCCTAGTTTTCATGCCTAGGGCGGAACTAGAACTCACTGTCGCCTGGTGATTGGCCCAAAGTCGCCCTCCTAGTTTTCATGCCTAGGGCGGAACTAGAACTCACTGTCGCCTGGTGATTGGCCCAAAGTCGCCCTCCTAGTTTTCATGCCTAGGGCGGAACTAGAACTCACTGTCGCCTGGTGATTGGCCCAAAGTCGCCCTCCTAGTTTTCATGCCTAGGGCGGAACTAGAACTCACCGTCGCCTGGTGATTAACGCAAAGTCACCCTCCTGGTTTTCATGCCTAGGGTGAAACTAGAACTCACTGTCTCCTGGCGATTGGCCCAAAGTCATCCAGCCAGCTTTTGTGCTTCAGGTGGAACTAGAACTCACCGTCGCCCAGTTTCTAGCCTGGTGCGCCTTAACCACCAGGCGAGACCGGCTCCCAGAGACTAACCAGCCGCCGCCATCTCCTCCTTGCATTTTTTTCATTCCTCAATGCTCCGCCAAGGTTGCAAACGGAGCCAGCCGAATACAAACCTTTTGGGGGCTGCCACCGCCGGCTGGATCGACGTTCCAGGACCTGGGAGAAAAAGGGGAGAAGCGAAAAAAGATAAAAATCGGAATTAAAAAAAATAAACCTGAATTATTTCGCAGAGAGGAGAAAGAAAACAAAAGCAAACAGAGTCGAGCCTGGGAATTCAAGGGTTAACCCGACCCGGGAAAGGGAGGGGTTGGAAAAGCTGGAGCGAGGAGGAAAGGCTCCTCCCACTTCTCCTAAGCAACGGGCCTGGGCCCGCCCTCCCGAAGAACCTCTCCTTTTGTTCCCTGAATGGGCCCCAGCGAGGAAAGAACGGGAAATGCAAATGAGCAGCGACGCCATTGGCTGGGCTGCGTCTCCGCCTCTTTTCCGACAGCGGGGGCGGGAGTGACTGGCGGTGAAGCTGTGGGCTGGTCGTGGTTCCATGGTGTAATGGTGAGCACTCTGGAGTCTGAATCCGGCGATCCGAGTTCGAATCTCGGTGGGACCTTATTATTTTATTTTATTTTATTTTATTATTTATTTTATTTTGTTTTATTATTTATTTTATTTTATATTTTATTTTATTTATTTTATTTTATTATTTATTTTATATTATATTTTATTTATTTTATTTTATTTTATTATTTTATTTTATTTTATATTTTATTTTATTTTATTATTTTATTTTATTTATTATTTTATTATTTTATTTTATTTTATTTTATTATTTTATTTTATTTTATTTTATTTATTTTATTTTATTTTATTTATTTTATTTTATTTCATTTTATTATTTTATTTTATTTTATTTTATTTTATTTTATTTGTGACACAAAAGTCTTTATTGTGGCCAAATCTCCTTCCAATATCTTTTTAGGGCAAGAGTGTTGTTTAAATGTACACAAAGATTACAGCAATCATTTGCAGAAAGCAGAAACTGCATGAAGATTTAAACTGAGGGACAGCATGGATAACCTGCATGTGGATATTCAGAAATGACTGTGCAGACATGAAAAGGGGTCTCCGCAAAGTTTGATCTGAATTGATATTTTTAAGTTGCCTTTTTACAAGTAATAGCCCTGTTTTTTTCAACCCTGGGGGGCCTTGAAGCTGGGTGGACTTCAAATCCCAGAATTCCCTAGCTATCCCTCTTGGTTAGAGAATTCTGGGAATTGAAGTCCACCCATCTTCAAGTTGTCCTGGTTGAAAAACAATGGTTTACAGCAATGTCTCTCAACCCTGGCAACTTTTAAGAGGGTTGGACTTCATCTCCCAGAATTCTCCAGCTAACCCTGTTGGCTGGGGAATTCTGGGAGTTGAACTCCACCCATAAGATAAGATAACCTTTGTTGTCATTTTTTTTACTGTGGGCACAATGGCACACATCAAAAATGAAATTTAGTTGCCCGCTCTCAAAGTGAAACACATACACGACACACACCTAAACACACCATGTGCAACACATGTATAGACCCACACCCCTACATATACGTAACAAATAAATATTAAACACTGTCTATTTTGAATATATAACGGAAGGAGGAAGCTTGAGAGTTCACAAGGTTAACGCTGTACTGAATGCAACTATGGCTGAATCTGGGTGTTCTGCTCCGGGTACCACAAAGCCCCCCCTCCCAGAAGGGAACAAGGGAAACAGGTTGTGAAGAGGGTGTGTTGTGTGCCAGACAATCCTGTGGACCCTGCTCAAGCTTCGCTTCTGTGCCACGTTCTGGGTGGAAGGGAGAGAACTGCCAATCCTCTTTTCTGCTGTCCTCACCACTCTCGGCACCACCTTCCTGTCCGAAGCAGGGATGCTTCCAAACCAGACGGTGATGCTGGATGTGCTTGATTGTCCCCCTGTAGAGAGTGGTGAGGACAGGGGAAGGAAGTTGTGCTTTTCTCATGCGACCGCAGGAAATGCAGGCCCTGGTGTGCCCGCTTCACCCGTGTCTTGCAGTTGAGCAACCAAGCCAGCCTACTTGTTGACTACACACCCAGGTGAATCATTAATGCACAGAGGTGTGTGGCTGTGCCTGCCTTTTCTGAAATCGACAACGATCTCTTTGGTTTTTCCGGTATTTAAAACTAGGCTATTCTAGCAGCAAGATTAGTCTTTGCACGGAGATGGAAAGATAATGAGGCACCCTCAGAAGAAGAGGTAACAAATAAGATTTAATCACTCAAGGATAAGAGTGAAACAGATTATTATGAAATCTGGGACAAATTGTATAATTGGTTGGGGAAAAAGAGATGGAAAAACCCTCTGATTCAGCGAAACACATTGATCAAGAAAGATACCGATCAAAGGAAAAATATCTAAATATTAAAGTGAAAATTAAGAATATAGAGGACGGGATCTACCAGAGAGGATATTTAAGAGAAAAAGAAACATTTGTTTGAACATGTGGATTGTGAATCATACAAATTAATTGTTAACGATTTTTCTTTCTAAATGTAAACCAGGCAAACACACTGTTAACCAAACTATTATGTGATTTATGCTTTAGAAATCAATAAAAATCAATTATATGTGTGTGTGTGTGTGTGTGTGTGTGTGTGTGCATGTGTGTGTGTGTGTGTGTGTGTTTTCTGAGGTTTTCGCGGGTGTTTGTATGTAGGTCTTTGGTTGTTCGGCTTTTCTCCTGCGTAAAATTGGAAGTGTCTTGGCGACGTTTCGACGAAGTCCCATTCGTCATCTTCAGGCTGGCGTTTTCAGCCTCGTGCTTCGAGGAGCAATGTGTGGTCTTAGCTGTTTCTTTCTTTTAACTGCCAGTGGGGGTATGAACTGATTGGGTGGGAGCTTGGCTGTGTTCTGATTGGGTGGAGGTGTGTTCTGATCGGTTAGGGGCTTGGCTGTGCTCTGATTGGCTGGGGGGTTGGCTGTGCTCTGATTGGCTGGGGGAGTGTTCTGTTTGGGTGGGGGCTTTGTTGTGATCAGGTTAGTCTGAGTTGCAGAGGGATTTAAGATGGTGGGCTGCCTTGCTATTTTTTGGTTTCGTGTTCGTGGTCGTGCCTCATCTTCATGGAGGGTGTCAGTTTGCTTCATGTATGGATTGGAGGGGTTTAAAATGGCTAATGATGCAGCTGTGGCCTGGCTTCTGGTTTGTGGTCGTGCCTCATCATCGGTGTGGCTTTGGGTTTGCTCCAGAACAGCTCGAGAGAGCAACGAGAGGGAGCATTGCGCCGTTTACTCTCCCCGCTTATCAGCTGATCAACCGGGCCGGCAGCGCGATCTAGGAGCCGCGCGCGGACAGCTACCGAACCCATTTAAACCACCTTGTCAAAACGATCTCTCAGCCCTGAAGATGTTGGGGAGTTTTCCCAACGAAAGCTTGGCACCTTTTTAATATAGTGAAATACTTTTAATAAAGTATCTTTACTTTTAACTCTCCCGGTGATCGCGCATCAAATGCCCGGGAATCGCATTTTTACCATCATTATTGAATATATATATATATATATATATATATATATATATATATATATATATATATATATATATATATATAAAACTAGGCTGTTCTCCTTATGCCAGTTCACCAACCCCTCAACCTCCTTCTGGTGAGCTTCCACATTGTCATCCTGAATAAGGCCCACTACTGTTGTATCATCCGTGAATTTCACAATATGGTTGGTGGCCAACCTAGCGCAACAGTCATGGGTCAACAGGATGAACGGCAGCAGACTTAGGACGCAGCCCTGAGGACAACTTGTGCTCATCTTCCCATCTTCAAGCTGCCAATTGTTGAAGAACATTTTTTTTTTGCGGTGTTTTTACAGTTTTAATTATTCTACAATTTCCAAAGCAAGCCAGTTCGGGAGCAATGCGCAGGGAGCCGCCCACTTCTTTAGGCAGATTCTGCCTTTCTTCCTAGCTGATGAGTCATGCCTTTTTTCCCCTCAGGAAAGGTGGCCACCAGGCAATCATGGCATGCTTCACGGGCCACCTGGCGATGAGAGGGCGGCACGCTCACAAGAACAGGTGCACCTGGAGGAAATTCCAGGGAAAGACAGGAATGTTTTCACATGGCAACTGAGGTGAGTGTCTCATCCCTCACAGGCAAGAACTGGGCTGGATCTGAAGGGATCCCAGCCATTTGGCCTGGAGCAGGATCCAGGATCCCTCTGAAAGTCCATAAGCTGGGGTCTTCCAACTTGGTCCTTTGATGACTTGTGGACTTCAACTCCCAGAATTCCTCAGCCAGCGTGCCTGCCTCAGGAAATCTGGGAGCTGAAGTCCACAAGGAGGGGTCTTCAAACTCGGCCCTTTCATGACGTGGGGAGTTCAGCTCCCAGAATTCCTCAGCCAGCGTGAGGGAACTAGGACCCTTTGATGACTTGTGGACTTCAACTCCCAGAATTCCTCAGCCGGCGTGAGAGAACTATGACCCTTTGATGACTCGTGGACTTCAACTCCCAGAATTCCTCAGCCAGTGTGAGGGAACTAGGACCTTTTGATGACTTGTGGACTTCAACTCCCAGAATTCCTCAGCCAGCATGAGGGAACTAGGACCCTTTGATGACTTGTGGACTTCAACTCCCAGAATTCCTCAGCCGGCGTGAGGGAACTATGACCCTTTGATGACTTGTGGTCTTCAACTCCCAGAATTCCTCAGCCAGCATGAGGGAACTAGGACCTTTTGATGACTCGTGGACTTCAACTCCCAGAATTCATCAGCCAGTGTGGGAGTTGAAGTCCACAAGTCATCAAAGGGCCAAGTTGGAAGAGCCCTGGTCTAAAAGCCTCATATTTGTGTTTTACAGATAGTCCTCAACTTACAACGGCTTCTTTAGCCACCATTCAAAGTTGTAACGGCACTGGAAAAAGAATTTTGATCAGTCCTCGCACTTAGAACCGTTGCAGTATTCCCCCTCATGGTCACGTGATCAAAATTCAAGCCCTTGGCAATCCGCACGTCCCAGGTCATGTGACCTTCCCAGCTGGCTTCTGACAAGCACAGTCGAGGAGGACCCTGGATTCGCTTAATGACCGTGGGAGCTACTCTCCAAAGCTATTCTCCAGAGCGCCTGAAGGCAGGACAAGAAACAAGGGACGGAAACTCATCCAGGAGAGAAGCAACCTGGAACGACTTGCCACAAGAAATTGTGGGTGCTCCAACATTGGAAGTTTTTAAGAAAAGACTGGACATCCATTTGTCTGAAATGGTATAGGGTTTCCTGCTTCAGCAGGGAGTTGGACTAGATGACCTCAAAGGTATCTTCCCACTATTCTATTCTATTCTATTCTATTCTATTCTATTCTATTCTATTCTATTCTATTCTATTCTATTCTATTTTTATTTCCTTTTCTATTCTAATTCTATTCTATTCTATTTTATTCTATTTTTATTTCTTTTTCTATTCTAATTCTATTCTATTCTTATTTCTTTTTCTATTCTAATTCTATTCTATTCTATTCTTATTTCTTTTTCTATTCTATTCTATTCTACTCTACTCTATTCTATTCCATTCTATTCCATTCCATTCTATTCCATTCCATATTTTCTATTCTATTCTATTCTATTCTATTCTATTCTATTCTATTCTATTCTATTCTATTCTATTCTATTCTATTCTAATTTCTTTTTCTATTCTAATTCTATTCTATTCTATTCTATTCTTATTTCTTTTTCTATTCTAATTCTATTCTATTCTATTCTATTCCATTCTATTCCATTCCATATTTTCTATTCTATTCTATTCTATTCTATTCTATTCTATTCTATTCTATTCTATTCTATTCTACTCTACTCTACTCTACTCTACTCTATTCCCATTCTATTCTATTCTATTCTATTCCATATTTTCTATTCTATTCTATTCTATTCTATTCTATTCTATTCTATTCTATTCTATTCTATTCTATTCTATTCTATTCTAATTTCTTATTTCTATTCTATTCTATTCTATTCTATTCTATTCTATTCTATTCTATTCTATTCTATTTTGTTCCATAATTTATTATTCTATTCTATTCTATATTTTATTATTCTATTCTATTCTATTCTTATTTCTATTCTATTCTATCTGGGGAATTCTGGGAGTTGAAGTCCACAACTCTTTAAAGTGGCCAAGACTGAGAAAAAACACCTCTTCTTAAAAACCTTGTGAGGCGCGTTATACAATTCCAGCATTCTTTGCTGCAGCCGGGCTCAGCTCACCAAGCTGCGTGTAACGGGGAGACAATTGCACAATCTGTGTTGTCGCAAGAGCCACTTTTGACAAGTGAGCGTGGGATCACTTCCAGTCTTGCCACCCATTTGCATCAGGAATTTATCTGTCACCGCCTCCTCTGCAAGTCTTGGGCTGTTTTTTACCTCCCAGGGTTCCAGAAGCATCCCACACAAACTCTTCCTTCGCAGGAAGTCCTCGGCTGACGACCGTTCATTTAACGACCGTTGGAAGATACGTCAGTCGTGAAAAAAAGTGACTGGCCCTCACACCTACGTCCGTCACAGCATCCCCGTAATGCCGTCATCAAAATTCAAGCGGCCTGTGTTTACGACAGTCGCAGCATACCGGGGGTCACGTGATCACACTTTGCGACCTTCCCGGATGACTTCCGACAGTGGGGACTTGCTTAGTGACTGTGTGATTCACTTAGAGGTTACAGTGATCCACTTTACGACCATGGCTCTTTTATGACTCATGGATTTCAACTGCCAGAATTCCTGAACCAGCCATGCTGAGGGGAAAGGCAGAGGTTTCCAAGCTGAGCCATGCTGGCTGAGGAATTCTGGGAGTTGAAGTCCACAAGTCATGAAGGGGCCATAGTTCCCCCATGCTGGCTCAGGAATTCTGGGAGTTGGTCCACAAGTCATAAAGGAGGCCATAGTCTCCTCATGCTGTCTCAGGAATTCTGGGAGTTGAAGTCCACAAGTCATAAAAGGGTCATAGTTCCCTCACGCTATGGTCTACTTTATCAAATGCTTTACTAAAGTCCAAGTAAATTATATCCACAGCATTCCAAGTAATTTTGTCACTTGGTCAAAGAACGCAATAAGATTTGTCTGGCACGATCTGTTTTTGACAAACTCATGTTGGCTTTTGGTAATGAGTTTGTTTGCCTCTTTGATATTACTTAATTAAAGGAATTACATCAAAGCACCAGACACATGGCAGGACAGGCTGAGCGTGACATCCACGGACAATTAAAAAAGATTATTTATGATTTGCCATGAACAAAGAAAAGGGCAATGATGCTTAGCGCCAGAAGTGAGCCAGCGAAAAGCACTTGGTCAAGTTTGCCTCTGTTGGAATAGAATAGAATAAGGTAGAGTAGAATAGAAATAAGAATATAATATAATATAAAGTAATATAGAATAGAATAGAATAGAATAGAATAGAATAGAATAGAATAGAATAGAATAGAATCTTCTTCTTGTGCCCTATCCGTTGTCGGACGTTGGCGATCATGTTGGCGATCCTGTTTTTATCAGCAACCGCACGAAAAAAGTGCTGCTGAGTTTTGTCCAAACCAGTCCCTTAGATTTTGAAGCCACAATATTCTTCTTCTGCCTGGACCTCGTTTGCCTTCCTTCTTTCCCTGGAGGATTAAATGGAGTATGCCGTATTTTTCTGGGTGTGGCATCACAGGTCCGAAATATTCCAACTTCCTTTTTTAAATTGTTTTGATGATTTCCCTTGGCTTTCCCAGGCGGCTTATCACCTCCTCATGTCTGATCTTGTCAGCCCAGCTTCTACGTAACAGCTGCCTGTAAACCCACATTTCAAATGCTTCTAGTCTCTTCAGGTGGCCTTCTGTCAGAGACCGACTCTCTACTCCATAGATCAGAATAGAATAGAATAGAATAGAATAGAATAGAATAGAATAGAATAGAATAGAATAGAATAATAAAATACAGAATAGAATAGAATAGAATAGAATAGAATAATAAAATACAGACTAGAATAGAATAGAATAGAATAATAAAATACAGACTAGAATAGAATAGAATAGAATAGAATAATAAAATACAGACTAGAATAGAATAGAATAGAATAGAATATAGTAATAAAATACAGACTAGACTAGAATAAAATACAGAATAGAATAGAATAGAATAGAATAGAACAGGATATAGTAATAAAATACAAACTAGACTAGACTAGACTAGAATAGACTAGACTAGAATAGAATAGAATATAGTAATAAAATACAGACTAGACTAGAATAGACTAGACTAGACTAGAATAGAATAGACTTGACTTATTGGATTGGATTGGATTGGATTCGATTCAATTCGATTCAACTCAATTTCTGTGTTATCAGGCCTGGGTGGTCCCAAGAGAGCAGGCAGATTTTGCGATGCCTCCCTTACTGTGGCTAGTATCATCCCGATCTATTTTGTGTGTCTTTCTAGAGCAGTGGTTCTCAATCTGTGGGTCGGGACCCCATTTGGGGTCGAACGACCATTTCACGGGGGTCACCAAACAAGGCTGTCCGCCATTTTTTCCCCCTTTTCTTTGGCCACACTACTGGCACCCGGTGATGTATAAGTGGTTGGGGGTCACCACAACATGGGGAACTGTATTATGGGGTCGCGGCTGTTCTAGAGTTATTTTTTTTTAAATTGTGAAATTTTTTTTTTAAATTGTGACTGGTGTTTTTTTTTAACATATTTATTGCTTTTTTAAAAAAAACGAGCATTGTACCCCACCCAGAGTCCCTTTCTCGTGGGATGGGCAGCCACACAAATACAAACAATCATCAAAGTGAAGGGAAGGGAAGCGAAGCGAAGCGAAACAAAGCGAAGCAAAGCAAAGCAAGGCTGACAGCTAACAGCCTGCAGAAGAAGCAACACCACCCGCCCACCAGCCAAAGCTGGACGGGATTTGTTGTCCTTTTTTTAACCTCCCCTAAATGTCCACCCTCTCAGATTTTTTTATTTTTTATTTTTAGTGATGGACACCGGCCGTCCTCCACTTACAACCACATTTCTTTTTCTTTTTTCCTTTTTTTATAATATTTTATTAATTTTCCAATTCTCCACTTGAAGATTTAAAAAGCAACGTGGTGACCGGGTTAATCAACAGCTCAATAACAAAAATCTTAGTGCAAATCCCCGGTTACAACGTCAAATATTTCTTTTCTTTTTCCCCTTCACGTTTACTTGTCTCATCTTCAGGCGAGGGCACTGTGGTAACTTTGAACGGCCACTCAGCAAATCGTCGTAACTTGAGGACCATTTATATCCCTTTCCTCACCTATCCATCTCTTTATTTTACTTCCACCCTGCAGGTTTTCGTGGGTGCGTCTCTGCTATTTCAACATCTGCTCATGCGTTGAGGACCTGACCCACCATGGAGACCTCAACCTAGTTTTCTTTCCGCCATGCTGGAGATGTTTCCTCTACGGAATGAGAGGAAGGACCTCAGTTAGGCTACTGGGCCAAGGTTTGTGAAAGAAGAAGAGTGGAAAAACTGGAGAGGAGGAGGAGCAGGAGAAGGAGGAGGAGGACGGCCCTTCTTCTGAGTTGGCTTGGAGGCATCTGGGTGTAACTCATATGAGGAGAAGAGCCGGTTCCGAAGCAGTTCTCTTCTTCTTCTTCTTCTCCTCCTCAATCCTTCCTCAAGCTTGAGACAACCTGCTTCTTTCCACTTTCTTCTCTGTCCCACCACCAGCAGGATGGACCAGAACGGATCTTCTCAGAAGCCAACGGTGATCTACAAGGCTGAAGTGACGACGGGGCAAGGTCTTCTAACGGGGACTTTAGATTTGATCTCCGTCACCTTGGTGGGCACCAAGGGAGAAAGCCCCAAGAGGTTTCTGGACCAGATTGGGATGACCTGCTCTCAAGGATCGGTAAGAATATGGGTTCAAGTCCCAAGAGAAGGAAGTTTGGGAGATGGTACCTTAGTTCTGGAATGGATTTCGATCCGGAGAGAGACGGAATAACAGAGCTTCAACCTTGGGAGGGATCCAGGGTGCTACCTGGGCCTGGGCCTTAGGAGAAGCTCTTTCAATTTCAGCTTGAGGTGGTGAAGAAGACATCTACACCTCGGTACTCAGATGAAGCAGAAAGAATACAGAGAAGAGCAACAAAGATGATTAGGGGACTGGAGGCTAAAGCATATAAGGAACGGTTGCTGGAATTGGGTATGTCTAGTTTAATGAAGAGAAGGACCAGGGGAAAAATGATAGCATAGGGAGTCAAGCTATTCTCCAAGGCACCTGAAGGCAGGACAAGAAGCAATGGGTGGAAACTAACCAAGGAGAGAAGCAACCTGGAACTAAGGAGAAACTTCCTGACAGTGAGAGCAATTAGCCCAACGGTTCTCAACCTGTGGGTCGGGACCCCATTTGGGGTCGAACGACCATTTCACGGGGGTCGCCAAACAATGCAGTCCGCCATTTTTCCCCCCTTTTCCTTAGCTGTGCTACTCCCTTTTATTCTATTGGCTTTTGAAAGCCAATAGAAGAGACTCTCTTGAATAGAGTCTAATTCTATTGGCTTTCAAAAGCCAATAGGAATTGTCCGGGCTGTCTCTGCCCTGCTGAGCCCGCCAAACGTCCCATTCTGCAAACGGTGCTGCGCCAGTTGAGTAGTCCTCGACTTACGACTGGTTGAGTAGTCCTCGACTTACGACCGGTTGCGGGGGGGTCGCAGCATTAAAAAGGTTGAGAACCACTGAATTAACCAGTGGAACTACCTGTCTCCAGAAGCGGTGAATGCGCCAACACTGGAAGTTTTTAAGAAGAAACTGGATAACCATTTGTCCAAAATGGAATAGGATTTCCTGCCTGAGCAGGGGGTTGGACTAGATGACCTCAAAGGTCCCTTCCAACTTTATCATTATTGTTATTGTTGTTGTTGTTGTTGTTGTTGTTATTAGAGGGGTTGACAAGATGGACTGGAGATTAAATGGTTCCCCATTAAAACGGAGAAGGTTTTTCCCCAATTCTTTGACCGAAGTGACAGCGATGTCCCTCCTAAAGAGACTCATCGGTGTGGCAGAAACGTTACCCCGTCACCAGTGTCAAGGGCTCAGATCTTCATTACCGTTCTCCGCGGAGATCCTGTTCTTCCCGATCACGGTGGCTTTTCCGAATGTGCTTTTCCGAAAAGGCGTCTGGAACTTTCTCGGTTCTGCCCTGAAGACCTTTCGCTTCTCATTCAAGGAGCTTTGTCGGTTCTGACTTTCCGGCTCAGCCACTTCCGTGATCCTGGGGCCTTTCGATCCGAACTGGAGAAGCTTCCTTGAGGGAGAAGTGAAATGCCTCTAAAGAAAAACAAAGGAAGTCCACTTGAGAAAAGCACCTTCGGGACTTAATTACTGTCACTTAATGACGGTCACTTAATCACCGCCAATTGCCATAACCAGTTTGGTAGAAAATTTACTTCATGGGCTGTGTTTTTTTTTTTTTTTTTGAAGGATACAGGCTATCTGGAGTGTTGGATGGGACCTTGGAGGTCTTCTAGTCCAACCCCCTGCTCAAGCAGGAGACCTTGAACCCGTTCCATGCGAATGGTTGTCTAGCCCAGTAGTTCTCAACCTTTTTAATGCCGCGACCCCCAACCGGTCGTAAGTCGAGGACTACTCAACCGGTCGTAAGTCGAGGACTACTCAACTGGTGCAGCACCGTTTGCAGAATGGGACTTTTGGCGGGCTCAGCAGGGCAGAGACAGCCTGGACAATTCCTATTGGCTTTTGAAAGCCAATAGAATTAGACTCTATTCAAGAGAGTCTGTTCTATTGGCCTTCAAAAGCCAATAGAATAAAAGGGAGTAGCACAGCTAAGGAAAAGGGGGAAAAAAATGGCGGACTGCGTTGTTTGACGACCCCCATGAAATGGTCGTTCGACCCCAAATGGGATCCCGACCCACAGGTTGAGAACCACTGCCTTAGACCATTCCAGACAAATCATCCAGCCTGTTCTTAAAAATCTCCAGTGATGGAGCGCCCACGATTTCTGGTGGCGAGCTGTTCCACTGGTTAATTGTCCTCACTGTTAGGAAGTTTCTCATTAGTTCTAGGTTGCTTCTCTGCTTGATCGGTTTCCATCCGTTGCTTCTTGTCCTGCCTTTGGGTCTTTTGGAGAATACGTTGACCCCTTCTTCTTTGTGACAGCCCCTGAGATATTGAAAGACTTCTATCATGTCACCCCTGGTCTTTCTCCTTGTTAGGCTAACAAAATAACACAGATGGAAGGGACCTTGGAGGTCATCTAGTCCAACCCCCTGCTCAGGCAGGAGACTCTATTCCATTTCAGACAAATGGCTGTCCAATTTCTCCTTAAAAACCTCCAGTGATGGAGCAACCCACAACTTCTGGTGGCAAGCTGTTCCATTGGTTAATTGTCCTCACTGTCAGGAAGTTTCTCCTTAGTTCCAGGTTGCTTCTCTCCTTGATGAGTTTCCATCCGTTGCTTCTTGTCTTTCCTTCAGGGGCTTTGAAACCAATTCCAATCAGTGTCAACATCTCAATTGCTTTAGTTACCTTGAGGAGATGGTGTCCTCTAGGGAAAGAAAAAGTGGAACAGAAGCCTATTATTATTAATAATACCACTTTACAACGTCTTGGTAAGGCCACACTGGGAATATGGCATCCAGTTTTGGTCACCACAATGCAAAAAAGATGTTGAGAGTCTAGAAAGAGTGCAGAGAAGAGCAACAAAGATGATCAGGGGAATGGAGGCTAAAACATATGAGGAACGGTTGCTGGAATTGGGGATGTCTAGTTTAACGAAGAGAAGGACGAGGGGGGACATGATAGCAGCGTTCCAATATCTCAGGGGCTGACCCAAAAAAGAGGGAGTCAAGCTATTCTCCAAAGCCCCTGAAGACAGAACAAAGAAGCAATGGATGGAAACTAACCAAGGAGAGAAGCAATCTAGAACTAAGGAGAAACTTCCTGATAGTTAGAACAACTAACCAGTGGAACAACCTGCCTCCAGAAGCGGTGAATGCTCCAACACTGGAAGTTTTTAAGAGGAGACTGGACAGCCATTTGTCTGAAATGGTGTAAGGTGTCCTGCCTGAGCAGGGGGTTGGACTAGATGACCTCCAAGGTCTCTTGCAACATCATTATTATTATTATGGATCATCGCACAGTTCCTAGTAAGGCCGCCTTTTGCAATTGACTAATAGCGAATTTGTCAAATTTGTCTATTATTATTATTAAATATTATATAATAATAATTATTATATAATTATTATGGATCATCGCACAGTCAGCCAGATGTTCAGACTGGATTTGGCATTTTGTCTACCTACTGAGTCCTTACCAAAGACCTAGGATAGGCAGAGGTGGATGTTTGATGGTATTACAGATATCGTCGCAGGATGGAAGCAGTTCCTAGTAAAGCCGCCTTTTGCAATTGACTAATAGTGAATTGGTCAATGCCAATGGTGTTCAAGTGGTGCTCCAGTTGTTTTGGGATTGCACCCAAGCCACCTATCACTATTGGTGCCACTGTCTTTCTATTTCTATTTGTATGTCTTTGTATTTTGTTATCTTCTCCAGTTTTTTCTCATCTATTCTGCTGTCTCCAGGCACTGGCACGTCCATTATCCAGACTTTTTTGTCTTTCTTATCGACAATTGTTAAGTCCGGAGTTATGTTTCAGGTGTTTGTCTGTTTGAATTGTGAAGTCCCAGAGCAGTTTAATTTTATCATTTTCTATCACTTTCTCTATTTTATGATCCCACCAGTTCTTCCTTACAGGCAAATGATATTTCTTGCAGATCTTCCAATGCACCATTGTTGCTACTTTGTCGTGCCGCTGCTTGTAGTCAGTCTGTGCGATCTTCTTGCAGCAGCTTACCAAGTGGTCCACTGTTTCTTCAGCTTCTTTGCATGGGCAGCAGTTACTGTCTGTTGCTGTCTTCTCAATTTTGACTTTATATACATTAGTCCTTAAGGCTGGATCTTTTGCAGCCAGAATTAGTCCCTTAGTCTCTTTCTTCAATTTTCCTGCTCTTAGCCATTGCCAGGTCTTGTTAATATCTGCTTTCCCAGCTATTTTTTTAATGTATTGGCCATGTAGTGCTTTGTCTTCCCATGTCTCTATTCTGTTCTTCATTTGGTCTTTCTTGTAGGCCAGTTTGGTCTCTCCAGTAGTTAGTAAGCCTTCCTGATATACTAATTTCAGTGCATCTTCATCATTGTTCTTCAGATATTCTTCCAAAGTCATTTTTTCTTCTTCAACCATCTGATGTACTTGTAGCATTCCACGCCCACCTATTTGCCTTGGTAGATAAAGTCTATCAATGTCACTGCGTGGATGAAGGGCATGATTCATTGTCATTATTTTTCTGGTCTTCCTATCCATTGCTTTTAGTTCTGCTTTAGTCCAGTCCACTGTTCCAGCTGTTGTTGTTGTTGTTGTTGTTGTTATTATTATTATTATTATTATTATTATTATTATTATTATTATTACGGATCATTGCACAGTCAGCCAGATGTTCAGACTGGGTTTGGCATTTTGTCTACCTATTGAATCCTTCCCAAGCACCTGGGATAGGCAGAGGTGGAAGTTTGTTGGTATTACAGATATTGTTCCATGATGGAAGCCGTTCCTAGTAAGGCCGCCTTTTGCAATTGACTAATGGCGAATTTGTCAATGCCGATGATAGTGTCCAAGTGGTGCTCCAGAGGTTTTGGGATTGCACCCAAGGCACCTATTAACTATTGGTGCCACCCTTGCTTGCCTTTGCCAGAGTCTTTCTATTTCTATTGTAGGTCTTTGTATTTTGGTATCATCTCCAGTTCTTTCTCGTCTATTCTGCTGTCTCCAGGCACTGCCACATTGTTGTTGTTATTATTATTATCATCATCGTCATCCTTATAACTCTTGGCACCTCTTGAGAGAAGTGGACAAGGTCATTTGTTGGTTTGACTGTCTGCAAAGTAACCCATGGGGATTTCTAGCTGGCTGTGGTGGACATCCGTAGAAGACTCAACTTTCAGATGTGGGTCTTCCACTCCCAGAATTCCCCGTAAAGTTAGTGCTGACTAGGGAATTCTGGGAGCTGAAGTTTGCCCATCAGATGGTTGCGCAACAACTAATCCGGTTACGTCACTAGCAAGTGATCTCTGTTTGCAGAGAAGAAGAGGCGGTGGACTGTGGGGTCCTTGGTGCTCTCTTGCAGACGTTTCATGACCCAACTAGGGAACATCATCAATGCTAGAAGGGAGAGGAGGAGGAGGAGGAGAAGGAGGAGGAGGAGAAGGAGGTGGAGGACTCCACAGTCCTCCTCCTCTTCCTCCTCTTCCTCCTCTTCCTCCTCCTCCTCCTCCTCCTCCTCCCATCGACACACACCAACGCAATCTCTTGGCAACAAATACTCAACGATTTCACTGCGTGATGGAGATCCGCTGAGATTGGGAAGCCCCTTGATCTCCTGAGCTTTGTTGGATCCCAGCCGAGAGGAAAGGAGTCCCAAGAAAGTCAGGGGGAAACACCTGAGAACATCTGGATGGTGGAACCCAGGGCAGAGATCACCTGGCGTTGATGATGTCTCTCCTCCGGAGGCGTCGCAGCCGAGAGCCTGGGCAAGCTGGAAAGCCGACAATCGCGGGGAAAATAAATCACCAAATCCACAAGAAGAGCCACAAGGATCACTTAAATTAAAACACCGCCTCTGCGGCGTGAAGAGGTGGCAGTCCCCCCCCCAAAAATGCTAAAAATGGAGCACCCACGATCTGCAGGGCTTGGGTGGCTCTCACCGTCAGGCCATCAGATGTTAAGGAGATGAAATTCATCTCCGTTGTTTCTGGTCCTCTGGCTTGTGGTCCCTACGCAACGGTTGCTGATTCACGTCCCTGTGGGCTGTCCTGCAGGTAGCGCAACGTGACGGTTGTGTCTCAAGTCGAAGAGAATAAATGTCGGATCCTCCTCCGAGGATCCCGACTCTCTCTCTCTCGCCTCGCTTCCCCAACAGGTGGCGGAGGTGGACATTCCATGCGACTGGGACTTGGGACCCATCTTGCTGATCCGCCTGCAGAAGGAGCCCTATTCCTGTTTCCCCCAGAGCAGCTGGTACTGCAACAAGGTCCAAGTGACCAGTCCTCAAGGAGAGCTCTTCCGCTTCCCCTGCTACCAGTGGATCGAGGGTTACTGCACCGTCTCCTTCAGAGAAGGAACAGGTGAGTAGCTACGCTAGGTCGGAGGAGGAGACCTCGGCCAGATCCTACAGGGCGAGATTAGTGGGTCTTCGGCACTCCTACACTGCAAAGGCAGGTAGTCCTCCTGGACTGAGGACCATCGTGGAGCCCGAAGTATCTGTTGCTAAGCAAGATGGTCCTTACGTGAGTGTTGTCCCATTTTAGGACCTTTCTGGCGACAGGGTGACTCAACTGGGGAAGATCATCAGTGCTAGAAGGGCCTGGGGCTGGGTCTCCGGTGATGCACGAGTGGGAATGGTGACCCTCAGCACTGGTGATGTTCCCTAGCTGGGTCATGAAACGTCTGCAAGAAGACCACCCAGCTCAGAGAGCACCAAGGATTCCTCCTCCTCCTCCTCCTCCTCCTCTTCCTCCTCCTCCTCCTCCTCCTCCTCCTGTCTGCACAATCCCCCCTTCCTTCCATCACTGATGACGTTCCCTAGTTGCGTCATGAAACGTCTGCAAGAAGACCACCCAGCTCAGAGAGCACCAAGGACCCCACAGTCCTTCTCCTCCTTCTCTTCCTCCTCCTCCTTCTCCTCCTCCTCCTCCTCCCCCCCTCCTCCTCCCCCTCCCCCCTCCTCCCCCTTCTCCCCTCGTTCTCCTCCTCCCCTCCTCCTCCTCCTCCTCCTCCCTTTTAGCACTGATTATGTTACTTAGTTGGGTCATGAAACGTCTGCAAGAAGACCACCCAGCTCAGAGAGCACCAAGGACCCCACAGTCCTCTTCCTCCTCCTCCTCCTGCTGCTGCTGTCTCCACAATCCCCCCTCCCTTCTATCACTCATGATGTTCCCTAGTTGGGTCATGGAACATCTGCCAGATGTTCAATAAATCTGGCTAAAGAAAACCCGGTGGGAATCGCAGGAGCCGGGACGGGCGTCTGGGCAAAGGAGAGGAGCCCAGGTGGGTCTTTTCCCTGATATCCCTGCCTTTTTTTTTTCACCCTACAGCTCACAAGCCTTCGGACGACACTCACGCCCTTCAGCGGAGGCATCGCCAGGAGGAGCTGCAGCTGCAACAGCGCACATACGGGTGAGTCGGGAAGATGGTGGACCCTTGGGAGTCGTCGTTTTAAAACTCCAGCATCCCCCTTTGGGCCCATTGAGGCAAAGAGTTTCTCAGCCTGTGCCACTTGGAGGTGGTGGACTTCAACGCCCAGAATGCCCCAGCCAGCATTGCTGGCTGGGGCATTCTGGGAGTTGAAGTCCCCTCCCCCATCCCCCATGTTAAAGAGGTCCAGGTTGTGAAAACCCAACTAGATGATCTCCAAGGTCCCTTCCAAGTCTTCCTCTCTATCACTCTAACTCCTACGACTCCTCCTGGCTGCCATATAACCAATTGGAGAGGATGCTGGGAGTTGTAGTTTAGAGGGAGAGCTATGAAGATCTCGTTCTTGATCAAGAGGGATAGATAGTATTGCCTTTCTTAAATAATAACAATAACATTATTATTATTACTATTATTAGTAGTAGTAATAATAGTAACAATAATAATAATAATAACAACATTACTACTACTACTACTAATAATAATAATAATAATAATAAAGTTGGGAGGGACCTTGGAGGTCATCTAGTCCAACCCCCTATTCAGGCGGGAAACCCTATACCATTTCAGCCAAGTGTCTGGCGCCTTCCCAAGTTCTGGGACTACAGGACCCATCACCCTAAGCCAGTGTGTCAAGATGATGTAGTGGATCACTGTTTACTGCCCCAAAGCATTGCTGAAGTAACCAGAGAGCGCTTTATTCTCTCTCAATTGTTCTCGCAAAATTTATGTACCAAACTGTGTGTTATCAACTTTGTGTGGCCGCTGGGAGTTTACAACTCTAGTGGGACAATTTCTCTGCACACAGGTGGAAGGAATACCTGCCCAATACACCTTGCTGTGCCAACATCGACACAACGGCCACAATAGAACACAACATTATGTACTCCTTCCCTAAGGCAACGGCCTTTTTCGGACGTGGTACGACTGCGTAAGTGTTGGGGGCTGGAGGGGAGACCACTTAGAGATGCCAGGGGTGGTTGGAGAGAGGGAGAGAGCCCCCTGGAGAAGGCAAAAGCCCAGCACCTCAGGGGTTCTTCTCCATGTGGTCCCTAGGGATTGAACCCGAGAGAGAGAGAGAGAGAGAGAGAGAGAGAGAGAGAGAGAGAGAGAGAGAGAGAGAGAGAGAGAGAGAGAGAGAGAGAGAGAGAATCGATGGATAAATAGGGTGGATGGATGGATGGATGGATGGAGGGAGATAGATAGATAGATAGATAGATAGATAGATAGATAGATAGATAGATAGATAGATGATACATAAAGATAGAGACAGGCATAGATAGATAGATAGATAGATAGATAGATAGATAGATAGATAGATAGATAGATAGATAGATAGATAGATAGATAGATAGATAGATAGATAGATAGATGGACAGACAGACAGAGGGATGGATAGATGGATGGATAGATAGTCGATAGATATAGATACATAGATGATAGATAGATAGATAGATAGATAGATAGATAGATAGATAGATAGATAGATAATGGATAGATAGATAGATAGATAGATAGATGATACATAAAGATAGAGACAGGCATAGATAGATAGATAGATAGATAGATAGATAGATAGATAGATAGATAGATAGATAGACAGACAGACAGACAGACTGACAGACAGATAGATAATGATAGAGGTGGATAGACAGACAGATATAGCTAGATGGATAGATAGATACGATAGATTATAGGCAGACATGCAAAACCAAATGCTCCCTGAAAGTATATATTTATCCATCCACTCATCCCTCTCCTCATCCCTCCATCCACCACCCACCCACCCACCCATCCATCCATCCATCCATCCTACTTATCTATCCACCCAACCATCCATTTATCCACCCACCCACCCACCCATTTGTCCACCCACCCACCCACCCATTTGTCCACCCACCCATCCATCCATCCATCCATTCATCCATTCATCGTATTTATCTATCTATCTATCCACCCACCCACCCATCCCTCCCTCCCTCCATCCATTATCCATCCATCCATCTATCCATCCATCCATCCATCCATCGTATTTATCTATCCACCCATCCACCCATCCATCCATCCATCCATCCATCCATCGTATTTATCTATCTATCTATCCACCCACCCACTCATCCATCCCTCCATCCCTCCCTCCCTCCCTCCCTCCATCCATTATCCATCCATCCATCCATCCATCCATCCATCCATCCATCCATCCATCCATCCATCCATCCATCCATCCATCCATCCATCCTACTTATCTATCCACCCACCCACCCATCTATTCATTCACCCACCCACCCATCCATTCATTGTATTTATCTATCTATCCATCCATCCATCCCTCCACCCATCCACCCATCCACCCATCCATCCACCCATCCATCCATCCATCCATCCATCCACTTACCCCCTCATCCATCCATCCATTCATCCATCCATCCATCCCAACTCACACACTCCGTCTCTTCTTCTTCTCCTCCTTCTTCTCCCCGTCAGCCTCTTTGAGGCCAAAATGAAGGGCTTCCTCAACAAACCTTACTCTTGGGAGAAGCTGGAGGACATCCGCAAAATCTTCTGGTTCTACCACAATCGTGTCTCAGGTCAGTGAGACTTCTCTTCCTTTCACAACGATACACTCACACCTCCCACAACTCCATGCCCCAGAACCGGTAACACAGCTTTGGTCAAACCAGGTATAGCTTGTCTCTGGCAGAAGGTGTGAAGTCTGCACGTTTGAAAATATGCTGGCTGGGGCATTCTGGGAGTGGAAGTCCACCCCTCTTAAAGCAGGCTGGCTGGGGCATTGTGGGTGCTGAAGCCCACCCACCCATTGCCCAGTGTGAGAAACACCAGCTCCAATTCATTCTGTGGGAAAAGCTCCATTGGAGGAGAATCTGCCGATTGGGAACCTAGCCGTGTTGTACTACACCCTTCATCATCCTGGGCTCCCTCCCTTGGGGCTTTTTCTTTTTGCAGAGTATGTCTTTAAGCACTGGAAGGACGATGCTTTCTTTGGGTACCAGTTCCTGAATGGAATCAACCCCATCAAAATCCAGAAATGCACCACTATCCCAGAAAACTTCCCCGTGACCCAGGAAATGGTGGCAGGGACTTTGGGACGAACGACAACCCTGCAGGAAGAACTGGAGGTGATTCTTTTCCCACCTGGGTGGTCTTCTAAGGCTCAAGGACAGACACACTGCTCTTTGTGTGTGACTTTCATAATACCTTTTTTTTCTTGAGATATGTCGCTCGTAAACAAACAAAACACTTTCTTGTGCATCTTTTAAAACCTTTTTTAATAGAATAGAATAGAATAGAAATAAGAATAGAATAGAATAGAATAGAATAGAATAGAATAGAATAGAATAGAATAGAATATGGAATGGAATAAGAATAGAATAGAATAGAATAGAAAATATGAAATGGGAATAGAATAGAATAGAAAATATGAAATGGGAATAGAATAGAATAGAAAATATGAAATGGGAATAGAATAGAATAGAATAGAATAGAAATTAGAATAGAATAGAATAGAATAGAATAGAATAGAATAGAATAGAATAGAATAGAATAGAAGCTGGAAGGGACCTTAGAGGTCTTCTAGTCCAGCCCCCTGCTCAAGCAGGAGAACCTATACCATCTCAGACAAGTGAATGTAGCCTCTTCTTGAAAACCTCCAGTGATGGAGCACCCACAATTTCTGGTGGCCAGCTGTTCCACTGGTTAATTGACCTCACTGTCAGGAATCTTCTCCTTAATCCCAGGTTGCTTCTCTCCTTGATGAGTTTCCAGCCATTGTTTCTCGTCCTGCCTTCTGGTGCTCTGGAGAATAAATTGACTCCTTCTTCTTTGGGGCAGCCCCCCAAATACTGGAATACTGCTAATTTTTTATTCATTTTTTTATAGAAAGGAACCATCTACCTGGTGGACTACAAGGTCCTCGAGAACGTCCCCACTACTTTTTTAAACAACCAGAAGCAATATATCGCTGCTCCTATCTGTCTGCTCCACCAAAAACCCAGCGGAGAACTTCTCCCTCTGGCTATCCAGGTACGTCCATCATTTTTAAAGACCCCATCAGGTAAAGGCAGGTGCCTGCCTGAGGAATTCTGGGAGTTGAAGTCCACGAGTCATCAAAGGGCCCTAGTTCCCTCAGGCTGGCTGAGGAATTCTGGGAGTTGAAATCCACAAGTCATCAAAGGGCCAAGTTGGAAGACCCCTGCTTCTGGACTTCAACTCCCAGAATTCCTTAGCCAACATGAGGGAACTATGGCCCCTTCATGACTTGTGGACTTCAACTCCCAGAATTCCTCAGCCAGCGTGAGGGAACTATGGCCCCTTCATGACTTGTGGACTTCAACTCCCAGAATTCCTCAGCCAGCGTGAGGGAACTATGACCCTTTGATGACTTGTGGACTTCAACTCCCAGAATTCCTCTGTCGGGCATAGAGCAGCCGCTAAGGGAAACGGGCTCCCTCTGAATTAGGCCGGTTCTCCATCCGGGAGCAGAGGTCTTCTCCAAGCTGAACGTCCCACTTGATCCCTCAGCCGGTCTCAACCTCTTCCTCCTGTCTCCCCCTCAGCTCAGCCAGCATCCTGGTCCTCAGAGTCCCATCTTCCTGCCCACCGACGAGGAGTGGCTGTGGACCTTAGCCAAGACCTGGGTGCGAAACGCCGAGTTCCACACCCACGAGGTCATCGCCCACCTGCTGCGCGGCCACCTGATGTCCGAGATCTTCGCGGTGGCCACCCTGAGGACCCTCCCCATGTGCCACCCCTTGTACAAGGTGGGAGTCCCGAGGCGGGCTGGGTGGGGGCGGCGCTCGGGCAAAGAGCAGGTCCTCCCAATGGTGGTTAGCTCAAATAACCATGGTTCCCTCCTCCTTCCCTGCTCCAGCTTCTGATCCCCCACTTGCGTTATTCCATCCACATCAACGTGTTGGCGAGGACCTACCTCATCAGCCCAGGTGGCACCTTTGATAAGGTAAGACTGGGGAACATCTGGGCTCAGCATGATGGGCTTGGTGGGCTGCCCCAAAGAAGAGGGGGTGGGGGTCTACCTATTCTCCAAAGCCCCCGAAGGCAGGACAGGAAACGACGGATGGAAACCAATCAAGGAGAGAAGCAACCTGGAACTGAGGAGAAATCTCCTGTCAATTGGCACCGTTAATCAGCGGAACCACCTGCCACCAGAAGTTACGGGTGCTCCAACACTGGAGGTCTTTAAGAAGAGACTGGACAGCTATTTGTCTGGAATGGACTAGGGCCACCTGCTTAAGCAGGGGGCTGGACTAGAAGACCTCAAAAGGTCCCTCCCAACTCTGCTACTCTGCTTTCTTTTCACAGGCCATTGGCACCGGGCGCCAGGGACTAGCGGTGATTCTCCAAAGAAGCCTGGCGGAACTGACCTACACCCAGCTTTGCCTTCCGGATGACATTGAAGCCCGGGGGGTGGGCTGCCTCCTCCAGTACTACTACAGGGACGATGGCTTGAAGATCTGGGAGGCCATCCAGAGGTGAAGGACCTTGGCCAAACCTTCTCCACCTCCAGGTCATCCTCAACTGGGGAAGGGCCGTGGTGAAGGGGCTACAAACCAGCCAGGATCCTCCACCATCGTAGTTTAGCCTGATTAATGGGGGGTTGCGAGGGTGGTGGATTCGAGTCTCGCGCAAGAGGTTTGGAGCCAGGGGTTTTGGCCCCATTGCTGCGTCTGGAGGCTCTCAAGGTTGAAATGAGGGGTCCTTGGCAGTCTCTGAGCTGGGTGGTTTCCTTGCAGACGTTTCATGACCCAACTAGGGGATGTCATCAGTGCTAGAAGGGAGGGGGTTTGTGGAGAGGAGGAGGAGGAGGAGGAGGATTGTGGGATCCTTGGTGCTGTCTGAGCTGGGTGGTTTCCTTGCAGACGTTTCATGACCCAACTAGGGAACGTTATCCGTGCTAGAAGGGATGCTCTCTTTTTACATATGAAACAACGGCAAGAACTGAGCTCAGAGAGCACAATAGAGACCCTACAGTCCCTCTCCTCCTCCTCCTCCTCCTCCTCCTCCTCCTCCTCCTCCTCCTCCTCCTCCTCCTCCTCCTCCCCTTCTGCTTCTACTCTACTCCACAAACCCCCACCCCCTTCTAGTACTGATAATGTTATTTAGTTGGGTCATAAAACGTCTGCAAGGAAACCCCCCAGCTCAGAGAGCACCAAGGATCCGTCAGTCACTCTCCTCCTCCTCCTCCTCCTCCTCCTCCTCCTCCTCCTCCTCCTCCCTTCTAGCACTGATGATGTAACCAAGTTGGGTCGTGAAATGTCTGCAAGGAAACCACCCAGCTCAGAGAGCACCAAGGACCCCCACAGTCCTCCTCCTCCTGCTCCTCTCCACAACCCCCCTCCCCTAATTGTCCCATGAAAGAAGCCCAGGGACCCCTCCCCCTAACCTTCCCTACTGCTTGGGTGGGGAAAAGGAGCCGGCAGCTCAGCCCCCTTAGCTGGGACAGACCTTCCTCTTCCTCCCTCCCTCCCTCCCTCCCTGCAGCTTCGTCTCGGGCATTGTGGGACTCTACTACAAGAGCGACTCCGAGGTGCAGGGAGACGGCGAGCTGCAGTCCTGGGTGGCCGAGATCTTCGCCAAAGGCTTCCTGAGCAGAGAGACCTCAGGTACATCCCGCTCTTGGAAAGTTTGGTTTTATCCTTTCCTGGTGGCCTCCTTTCCACCCTGTACAATACAGGCAGTCGTGGGCTTTCCTCCGTTCCTTTAGCGACTGTTCCGAGTTGCAGCAGCGCCAGAAAACGGATCCAGTGATTTTTGTACCATTTTGGGACCTTTCCCCCTCCACGGTCATTAAGTGAAACACCGCAGTCATTAATTAGTTGTTAAGCGAAGCAGGCTTCCCTCTCGACTTTGCTTGTCCAAAGGGGATCAGGTGACACCCACCCCTCCCACCCCTGGGACGCTGCCACCTTCCTAAGTGCGAGCCAGTCGCCAAGCGCCTGGATTTGGATCACGTGACCATGGGACTCCCTCCGCATCGCCGCTTGGTCTCCCTTCCTTTTTTCCCCGGGGGGGGGGGAATCTCAGCTGGGCCCAACTCTCCCCCTTTCCCTCCAGGCGTCCCTTCCGCCCTGCACTCCGTCCCAGAGCTCATCAAGTACTTGACCATGACCATCTTCACCTGCTCAGCTCACCACGCAGCCGTCAACGGAGGGCAGGTGGGTGGGGCTCCTCGGGGTCTTCCCAGGAGGGGGGGAAGGGGGCTGGTCACCAGCAGGACCAGGTGACCCTGGGTTTTCCATCCGTCAATTCTCCCTTCCTTCCTTCCTTCCTTCCTTCCTTCCTTCCTTCCTTCCTTCCTTCCTTCCTCCCTCCCTCCCTTCTTATTCCTTTCTCCCTCCCTTCTTATTCCAATCTCCTTCCTTCCTTCCTCCCTCCCTCCCACCCTTCCTTCTTCCCTCCCTCCCTCCCTCCATCCCATTTCCTTGCCCTCCCTCCCTTTTTATTCCCATTTCCTTCCTTCCTTCCTCTCTCCTTTTCTTCCTTCCTTCCTTCCTCTCTCCCTCCCTCCCATTTCTTTCCTCCTTCCCTCTCTCCCTCCCTTCTTTTATTGAAAAGTTTTATACAATATACATCCCTACCCCCCCTCCCCCATTTCCCAGAGCTGAATACAGAATTACAAATAAACAATCAAACTCTAAAAAAAACATTACCCAACTATACAAGTAACCAAGTCCATAACGCACTTTAACTCCCTTATAACATAAAGATAAACAAATTAAAAATAAACATAATAATATAAAGAAATCAATATTGTTAAACCATACTAAAACTAATAATAATTAAAAAAGAAACTATTAATAATACTCTAAAGTTTACTCATAGGCTAAATGAAACTTTTTAATCCCGTATTTATTCTGAATATAATCTATCCATCTTCTCCAAACTGAAATATATCTTTCTTGTGAGTGATCCTTCAAGTAAGCAGAAATTTTTGCCATTTCTGCTAAATTTGACACCTTAAGCGTCCAATCTTCTATAGTAGGGCAAAGAATCTTTCTTCCAATATTGCCCTACTAATAACCTTGCAGCTGTTATAAAATTCAACATCAAAATAGTTTCTTTAGCATCACAATCTACCATAACACCCAACAAAAATAGTTGTGGCGTGAACTTTATCTTTCTTTTAAAAATCTTTTGAATGTTCCACCGAATCTTAATCCAAAAAGCTTTTATATTTCTACAAGTCCACCAAATATGAAAATAGCTTGCGTCCAAGCTACCACATCTCCAGCATTTGGGCTGTAAATTGCGATACATATAAGACAGCTTTTTGGGATCCAAATGCCACCTATAAAACATTTTATAAAAATTTTCTCTTCAATTTTGAGCCTGAGTAAATTTTACATTTCTAACCCAAATTACCTCCCATATATCCAATGAAATCAGTTCTTGAATATCTTGAGCCCATTTTATCATACAATCTTTAACTAAATCCATTTCAGAGTCCAATTCTATTAAAACATTATAAATTCTCTTTGTGTGGGCTCGATTTGAATCTTTAATCTGTTTTACCAAATTCTCATCCGCTAAAGTAATACCAACCTTTTGATCTAAGCTCCACCTAACCAACAATTGGTTATACTGAAACCAAGACTGTACAATATTTTCCTGCTTTAACTCAATTAAAGATTTTAATTGCCAATCCTTCCCTACCAATCTAAGTAATGCCTTATAAGAAATCCTATCCAAGTTCATACCCCTAGATACCGCCTCTATCGCGTGTCCAGGAATCCCCCCAAATTGGTATTTTATAATTTAACCTATAATAATACTTCTTCCAGACACGCAATAAAGCACTTCTTAAAATATGGGATTTAAAAACCTGATCTACTTTTTTTTATCATAAATTAGATATGCATGCCATCCATATAGTAAATCCCATCCCTCAAGAAAATCCTATTTCCTTCCTTTCTCTGTCTCTCTCTCCTTTCTTATTCCCATTTCCTTCCTTCCTTCCTCTCTCCCTTTCTTCTTTCCTTTCTTCCTCTCTCCCTCCCTCCCATTTCTTTCCTCCCTCCCTCCTTCCCTCTCTTCCTCCCTTCTTATTCCAATCTCCTTCCTTCCTTCCTTCCTTCCTTCCTTCCTTCCTTCCTTCTTTCCTTCCTTCCTTCTTCCTTTCTCCCTCCCTCCATCTCATTTCCTTCCTCCCTCCCTCCTTCCCTCTCTTCCTCCCTTCTTATTCCAATCTCCTTCCTTCCTTCCTTCCTTCCTTCCTTCCTTCCTTCCTTCCTTCCTTCCTTCCTTCCTTCCTTCCTTCCTTCCTTCCTTCCTCCTTTCTCCCTCCCTCCATCTCATTTCCTTCCTCCCTCCCTCCCATTTCCTTCCTTCCTTCCTTCCTTCCTTCCTTCCTTCCTCCCTCCCTCCCTCCCTCCCTCCCTCCTTTCTTTCGAGGATTCCCTGCACAGTATTTCCTTGCTGGGCGTTTTTTTTTAACCTTAATTTTCCTGCACGTGGAAAATCAAGCGGGATGAAAAGGCGGGCCAGATGTTTCTCCCTTCCTTCTGACGCTCTTCTCCTCCTTCTCTCTGGGCGGAAGTTTGAGATGGGGGCCTTCATGCCCAACCTGCCTTCGTCCATGAGGAAGCCCCCTCCCCAGGCGAAGACCCCCGTCACCCTGCAGGAATTCCTGGACACCATCCCGGAGATGAACGTGACCAGCCAGGTGCTCTCCGTCCTCTGGGTGCTGCGGAACGAGAGCCTGGACATGGTGAGCCTCCCCCACCCCATCATCATCATCATCATCATAAAAAGTTGGAAGAGACCTTGGAGGTCATCTAATCCAACCCCCTGCTCAGGCAGAAAACCCTATTATACCATTTCGGACAAATGGCTGTCCAGTCTCTTCTTCCAGTGTTGGAGCATTCACCACTTCTGGAGGCAGGTTGTTCCACTGGTTAATTGTTCTCACGGTCAGGAAGTTTCTCCTTATATTCCAGGTTGCTTCTCTCCTTGATTAGTGTCCATCTGTTGCTTCTTGTCCTGCTTTGGAGAATAGCTTGACTGCCTCTTCTTTGGGGCAGCCCCTGAGATATCGGAAGACTGCTATCCTGTCCCCCCTCGTCCTTCTCTTCATTAAACTAGACATCCCCAATTCCAGCAACCGTTCCTTATATGTTTTATCCTCCAGTCACCTGATCATCTTTGTTGCTCTCCTCTGCACCCTTTCTAGAGTCTCAGCATCTTTTTTACATTGTGGTGACCCAAACTGGATGCAGCGACCATTTCTCCCTCTCTTCTTTCTTTCCTTCCTCCCTCCCTCTCTCTTTCTTTCTCTCTTCTTTCTTTCTTTCTTTCTTTCTTTCTTTCTTTCTTTCTTTCTTTCTTTCTTTCTTTCTTTCTTTCTCTCTTCCTCTTCTTCTCTCTTCTTTCCTTTCCTTCTTGTTTTTTTTCTTTTCTTGTTTCCTTTCCTGTTTTCTGTCTTTCGTTTTCTTTTTCTATTTTTCTTTCTCTTTCTTGTTTCTTCTTTTCTTCTTTTCTTTGTTTTCTTTCCTTTTCTTTCTTTCTCCTTCCTTCCTTCTTTCTTTCCTTCCTTCCTCCCTCCCTTTCTTTCCCTCTCCTCTCTCCTTCCTTCCTGTTTTCTTTCTTTCATTTCTTTCCTTATTCTTTCTTTCTTTCCTTTCTTTGTTTCTCCTTCCTTCCTTTTCTTTCTTTCTTTCTTTTTCTTTTGTTTTCTTTCTTTCTTGTTTTCTTTCTTTTTCTCCTTTCTTTCTCCTTTCTTTTTCTTTCTTTCATTTTCTTTTTGTTTTGTTTTCTTTTTTCTCCTTTCTTTTCTTTCTTTCTTTCATTTTCTCTTTCTTTCTTTCTTTCTTTTTTCATTCCTTCTTTCTCTCTCTTTTCCTCTCTCTCTTTCTTTCTTTCTCTCTTTTTCTTTTCTTTCTTTCTTTCTTTCTTTTCTCAGCATCTTTCACTTCCTGGCCTCTTTGCTACTCAGCCACTGTGCTAAACATCCCCTGCCTTCTACTACTTTCCCCCTCGGCCTCTCCTGGCGTAGAAGCTGGGGGGGGGGCTCCTGAGACCTCCCAGCAGTTGAGGGAGGAAGCTGGCGCCCTTTGGTCTTGCCATGCACCAGGCCAGCGGGAGAAAGCAGAACGAGGGCGGAAAGGCAGGAGCCAGTGGTGACTCCAACGCAGACGGGGACGCCATCCTTCCGCTTTTCCTGGGAGGTTAATTGCAGACTCCGTTTGTGTTCTGAGCCTTGCGTGCTCCCGACTCAGCCTGGAAGAGGCTCCCTGGGGGTTGTTGCCCCATCGCCCGCTTTCACCCTCCAGTTCAAATGAGGCAGTTCCCTTTTCCCAACTCTTTCAAATACTGTAACACTGAGAGGATGATAGCAGCCTTCCAGTATCTCAGGGGCTGCCCCAAAGAAGAGGCAGTCAAGCTATTCTCCAGAGCACACGAAGGCAGGACAAGAAGCAATGGATGGAAACCAATCAAGGAGAGAAGCAACCTGGAACTATGGAGAAACTTCCTGACAATTAGAACAATTACCCAGTGGAACTACCTGCCTCCAGAGGTTGTGGTTCTCAACCTTTTTAATGCCGCGACCCCCAACTGGTTGTAAGTCGAGGACTACTCAACCGGTCGTAAGTCGAGGACTACTCAACTGGTGCAGCACCATTTGCAGAATGGGACTTTTGGCGGGCTCAGCAGGGCAGAGACAGCCTGGACAATTCCTATTGGCTTTTGAAAGCCCATAGAATTAGACTCTATTCAAGAGAGTCTATTCTATTGGCTTTCAAAAGCCAATAGAATAAAAGGGAGTAGCACAGCTAAGGAAAAGGGGAAAAAAATGGCGGACTGCGTTGTTTGGCGACCCCCGTGAAATGGTCGTTCGACCCCAAATGGGGTCCCGACCCACAGGTTGAGAAGCACTGCTCCAGAGGTTGTGGTTTTCCATCACTGGAGACTTTTAAGAAAAGACTGGACAGCCATTTGTCTTGGGCTGGGGATTGGACTAGGATAGATAGATAGATAGATAGATAGATAGATAGATAGATAGATAGATAGATAGATAGATAGATAGATAGATACAGATGTTTTCTGAGGTTTTCGTGGGTGCTTTATGTAGGTCTTTGGTTATTCGGGTTTTCTCCTGCGTCAAATTGGAAGTGTCTTGGTGACGTTTAGACGAAGTCTCAGACCTGAGCACAACAAAGCCCCCACCCAAAAAGAACACTCCCCCAATCAATCAGAGCACAGCCAACCCCCCATCCAATCAGAGCACAGCCAAGCTCCTAACCAATCAGAACACACCTCCATCCAATCAGAACACAGCCAAGCTCTCATCCAATCAGTTCATACCCCCACTAGCAGTTAAAAGGAAGAAACAGCTACGATCACACATTGTTCCTAGAAGCATGAAGCCGAAAACACTAGCTTGAAGATGACGAATGAGTCGAAACGTTGCCAAGACATTTCCAATTTGACGCAGGAGGAAACCCGAATAACCAAAGACCTACATAGATATAGATAGAGAGGATAGATAGATAGATAGATAGATAGATAGATAGATAGATAGATAGATAGATAGATATGGCTGGATAGATAGATAGATAGATAGATAGATAGATAGATAGATAGATAGATAGATAGATAGACAGATAGAGGATAGATAGATAGATAGAGATAGAGATTGATATATAGATAGATATAGAGATGGATGGATGGATAGATAGATAAATAGATACGGTAGCTAGATTGATAAAGAGAAAGGATAGATAGATAAGATAGACAGACAGATAAAGGGAAAGGTAGATAGATAGATAAGATAGATAGAGAGAGAGAGAGAGAGAGAGAGAGAGAGAGAGGATAGAGATAGCTAGAGAGAGAGAGAAAGAGAGAAAGAGAGAGGATAGATATAAATAGCTAGATGGATAGATAGACAGACAGACAGACATTGTATTTTTTTACTGTGGGCACAATGGCAGCCATTAAAAATGAAATTTGGTTGCTTGCTCTCCAAGGGCCCTCCAAGTTTCTTGCTCTCAGCGATGACCTCTGGGTCCCTCCCAGCTCTGTGGTTACTCTGTGATTCTCTTCCGCTTCTGCAGAAACCGCTGGGCTACTATGACGAGGAGCACTTTGTGGAGGAAGGCCCAAAGCAGCTAATCAGCACTTTCCAGGAACATCTCAGGCACATCACCTTGGCCATCGAGAGCCGGAACAAGACCCTCACGCTGCCTTACACTTACCTCTACCCCCCCAACATAGAAAACAGCACCACCATCTAGGACCCTGGATTGCTCGGCCTGTGCATGTTGCTAGTCCTCAATGAGGGGAGCCCCTCCCCGTTTTCTTCAAAAGCAGGGTGGGGTGAGTGGATATGAAGAACATGTTGGCACCAAAAGATCTAGAGATGTACGAATTCCGCCTCCAGGAATGCTCCAGGCAACGGAAAAGGCAAAGGGGAAATGACCACAACTGTAGTTGCGTCGGGAGTCCTAGCGTTGTGTAGGCAGCCCTCGACTTACGACCGCAAGGGAACCCCAAAAACCTCCGTTGTTAAGCGAGACGTTTGCAAAGTGAGTTTTGCCCCCTGTTTGCGACCTTCCTTGCCTCGGTTGTTAAACGGATCACTGCAGTTGGCTCGTTAGCAACCCGGTCCTTAAATGAATCCAGCCGCAAAAGGGGATCACGGCAGCCGTTGTAAGTATGAACCGGCAGCCAAGCGTCCGAATTTCGATCACGGCACCATGACAGGGGAGGCTGCAGAGCTCACAATTCTGACCAACGATCCTAAGTTGGTTTTTTTCCGGTGGCGTTGTGACTTTGAACTGTCACTAAACGAAGAGTCGTAAGTCGAGGACTGCCTGGAGATCCCTTCTCCTGCGAACACGGAGGAAGCGGATTGAGAAATATATTATTTGGGGGACCATAAGGCCCTTTGGCAACCGAACACGCCAAGGGCGGTCCATTTCCCCCCCTCTCCCAAAATAAATCCTGTTTTAAGCGACATTCCTCTCAAAAGAAATGCTGAATTTCAAGCCGATCCTTTGTGTTGAGGTGTCTTTCCAGAGGGTGACAAGAGTTAAGAAGGCAAAAAACGACAAATTACTTGGCAGTTGCATTCTTTTTGCTGAAATCTTTAGCCTATGGCTTCCTAAACTTGGGTAAATGATCCCAGATTGAGCAAAAGTGGGGTTTTTTCCTCTACAAAACGACCCACAATCGCATTACACAATCCCACTAGGGACATTTAAACAGACTTAAAGAGTTTTATCGACATTATGCATTGCTTTAGACCAGGGTTTCCAAACTCGGCCACCGTAAGACTGGCGACTTACAAACCAGTCCTCACACTTATAACCGCTGCGCCGTGAGCCAATTTGGGGGGGGGGTATCTCAATCAGAAGAGAGCTGGAAGGGGACCTTGGAGGTCTTCTAGTCCAGCCCCCCCTGCTCAAGCAGGAGACCCTAGACCATTTCAGACAAATATGTAATCAGAATAGAACTGGAAGGGACCTCGGAGGTCTTCTAGTCCAGCCCCCTGCTCAAGCAGGAGAACCTATCCCATTTCAGATAAGTGGCTGTCCAGTCTCTTCTTAAAAACCTTCAGCATTGTAGCATCCACCTCTAGTGGCAAGCTGTTCCACTGGTGAATTGTCCTCGCTGTTGAGAAGCTTCTCCTTCAGTTTCACTCTCCTGTTGCTCCGCTCCCCCTTCGGGCAGACCGTCCTTGACTGGGCAATTCTTCGCTTAGCGGCCACTTGACTGTACCGCATCAATGAAAAAGGCGACGTACAAACCAGTCCTCACACTTACAACCGCTACAGCGTGAGGCGATCAAAATTTGGGTGTTTGGCCACCGGCATCCGATCTATCCTGGTTTGCAGCATCCCGAGGTCAGGTGACCTGCGTTTGCGATAACCCGATAATGGGGGAAGCTGGATTCGCTTAATGACCGCAGGGACTGGCTGAAGAACTGAGGCCTCCCCAAAAAAGCTGGTAAAACTGGGCACAACTCAACCACCTCACAGCAGAAATCCTGGTTCGCCCCATTATTGTCGTAAGTCAAGGATCCTCCGTTAATAGCATCTTGGACACCATGCTGGTCTTGTCCATCAGTCCATCATTTGTCCATCTGGCCAAGCCGGCAGGGTTTCTTGGGGACAGGACAGGAAAGGGTGGTGAGGACGGGGTTAAATTCTCTCCAGGATGGCTCCTGTGACTCAGTTCTCCTCCATTTGGGAGCTGCTCGGAATGGCTGGCATATTTTACCTCAGAAGCCTCTCCCAGTTGGACCAGTGACTTCAACTGGCTGGTTGCTCTGGGCAGTAAATGGCAGTCACGTCTTCCCTGAGCCTGGGGGCAGGACCTGCATGGCCTGGGAGCTTCTCAAAAACAAGAGCTGGAATTCAAATTGGGCATTTTGTGCCAATTGTGGGTGTGTGTGGGGGGGATCTCAATCAGAAGAGAGCTGGAAGGGACCTTGGAGGTCTTCTAGTCCAACCCCCCATGCTCAAGCAGGAGACCCTAGACCAGGGGTCTTCAAACTTGGCCCTTTGATGACTTGTGGACTTCAACTCCCAGAATTCCTCAGCCAGCGTGAGGGAACTAGGTCCCTTTGATGACTGTGGATTTCAACTCCCAGAATTCCTCAGCCAGCGTGAGGAAACTATGACCCTTTGATGATTTGGGGACTTCAACTCCCAGAATTCCTCAGCCAGCGTGAGGGAACTATGACGCTTTGATGACTCGTGGACTTCAGCTCCCAGAATTCCTCAGCCAGCGTGAGGGAACTATGACCCTTTCATGACCGGTGGACTTCAACTCCCAGAATTCCTCAGCCAGCGTGAGGGAACTATGACCCTTTCATGACCGGTGGACTTCAACTCCCAGAATTCCTCAGCCAGCGTGAGGGAACTATGACCCTTTCATGACCTGTGGACTTCAACTCCCAGAATTCCTCAGCCAGCATGAGGGAACTATGACTCCTTTATGATTTGTGGACTTCAACTCCCAGAATTCCTCAGCCAGCCTGAGGGAACTATGACTCCTTTATGATTTGTGGACTTCAACTCCCAGAATTCCTCAGCCAGCATGCCTGGCTGAGGAATTCTGGGAGTTGAAGTCCACAAGTCATCAAAGGGCCAACTTTGAAGACCCCTGCCCTAGATCATTTCAGACAAATATGTAATAAGGAGAGAGCTGGAAGGGACCTTGGAGGTCTTCTAGTCCAACCCCTTACTCAAGCAGGAGACCTTAGACCATTCCAGACAAATCATCCAATCTCTTCTTTAAAACCTCCAGTGATGGAGCGCCCACGATTTCTGTCTGGCTGTCCTCTTCAATATACTGCAACCTTCTTTCTAAAGCAGTCTCCATTTTGTTTATTCCCAGCTTGGACTGGACCCCGATGAAGATTTTTCTTTCAACAGTGCTTTGGAAAATAAGTTGACCCCCCTCAAATACTGGAAGACTGCTATCATGTTCCCCCCCCCCCAATCCTTCTTTTTCTCTGGACTGGCCATTCCCAAACCCTGCAACCCTTTTTCCTATGTTTTGGTCTCCAGGCCTTTGATCATCTTAGTTGCTCTTCTTTCAACTTTTTCCAAAGTTTGGGCCTCTCTTTCGTCGTGGGGTGACCAAAGCTGGATGCAGGATTCCAGGTGTGGCCTTACTAAAGGCTTTATAAAGCGGGATTAATACTCTGCGTGATTTTGATTCCGTGCCTCTGTTTATACAGCCAAGGATTATATTAGCTTTTTTGGCTGCTGCCGCACACGGCTGGCTCACATTTAAGTGCAGAGGGGGAGAAATTAATGGGAATACACAGAAGGTTTTCAAGTGAGAGACAGAAGGACACATACCGAAAATGGACATACAGGGAATCCTCGACTTACGAAAATGCATTTAATGACCATTTGAAGGCAGTGCAGCATGGAAAAAAGTTTTCATTCCTAAGCACAGTGGTTATTAAAAGAGTTGCAGCTGTTGGTCTGTTTTTTTCATGGTGTGCCAACCTGAAATGCAATTAGGGTGAAGAACATTCTGTACAGATGGTCCTTGACCTATGACGATTGGTTTAGCGGCTGTTCAAACTTACAACGGCAGGGCAAAAATGTTGTCGTTGATAAGCAAGCCACTTAAAAGAACCATACCTGATTTAATGACTATTGAATGGTTATTGTGTTTTCTTTAATGGCACACCAGCCTGAACTGCAATTAGGTGAAAAAACATTCTATGTAGGGTTTCCTTGACCTAGGCCAGGGGTAGGCTGGTAACTAGTTTCCGGGGTTTGCCCCATGCCTCAAAACTCTAAACCAGTCAAACAGGATGATGGAAACCACAATAAACGAAGAATTAAAGGTTGTTTAATTGTTTATTGGTGTCTCTCCAAAACAAGCTGTTTTGTAGCTTCTGGATGGCCAAAGAATACCATGGTTTTTAAAAAATAATATTTTATTAATTTTTCCAATTTTACATTTACGTATTTAGGAAGCAGCGTGGTGACTGGGTTAATCCATAGTTCGATAACAAAATTTTTAGTCGAAATCTCAACTGGCAACATCAAATATTTCTTCTCTTTTTCCCTTGAACGTTTACTGTCTTGTATTCAAGCTAGTACGGTTCTTATTATGTCAACTCAATAAGAACATCATTATTACATTTATCAATAAAGCAAAGAATACAGTTATTGGGAGGGGAGAGCAAAAAATCTAAGCGCGTTCGTCTTTATTGGGTAAACTTACTCGTATTTGACCGACATCATCTGGAAGCTAGGATTCCCAGACGATTGAAAGAATAACGAGAAAAAAATCAAGTTACCCAGATAGCTGATGTTTTTAATTTAAGCTTTTATTGGAATAAACGAAAGGGACTTGATTCTATGCCTCTGTGAATAGAATAGAATAGAATAGAATAGAATAGAATAGAATAGAATAGAATAGAATAGAATAGGAATAGGAATAGGAATAGGAATAGGAACAGAACAGAACAGAATAGAATATATGGAATTGAATAAGGAATGGAATGGAATGGAATAGGATAGGATAGGATAGGATAGGATAGGATAGAATAATAAAATACAGAATAGAATAGAACAGAATAGAATAACATAAAAATAGAATAAGAATAGAATAGAATTACAGAACAGAACAGAATAGAATAGAATAATAAAATACAGAATAGAATAGAATAGAATAGAATAGAATAGAATAGAATAGAATTAAAGATATCTCTAGCCCAGCGGTTCTCAACCTGTGGGTCGGGACCCCATTTGGGGTCGAACGACCATTTCACGGGGGTCGCCAAACAACACATATTTTTTCCCCCTTTTCCTTAGCTGTGCTCCTCCCTTTTATTCTATTGGCTTTCGAAAGCCAATAGAATAGACTCTCTTGAATAGAGTCTAATTCTATTGGCTTTCAAAAGCCAATAGGAATTGTCCAGGCTGTCTCTGCTCTGCCGAGCCCGCCAAAAGTCCCATTCTGCAAACGGTGCTGCACCAGTTGAGTAGTCCTCGACTTACGACCGGTTGAGTAGTCCTCGACTTACGACCGGTTGGGGGTCGCGGCATTAAAAAGGTTGAGAACCACTGGCCTAGCCGTTGCTGGAAAATGTAGACCAAAACCAGGCACCTGCTATCTTCTTCGGTGGACGTGCCCGAAAGCCAAAAGATTTTGGTCAAGAATACATATACGGTTAGAGAAAACGACTAAAACACACACACACACACAGAGACACACACACATACACACACACACACAAACAGAGACATAGATTTTTAAGCCAGAATTATTTTTGGTTAAGGTGCAATTGTAGGAAATTGTGAGAAGGACTGCGTTAATCGTACGTTGATTAACTGAGAATGGCATTTGCACAACATTGGAAGGATGAAGAATTTATTAGCAAGCATCTGGATTTTGATCACCTGACCCTGGGGATGCTGCAATGGTCGTAAGTGTGAAAAAAAACGGTCATAAGTTACGTTTTTAGTGCCATAGTAGCTTTGAACGGTCACCAAGCAAATAGTTGTAACTTGAGGACTGCTTATAGTCCTTTCCTCCCCTATCCATCTCTTTATTTTGCTTCAACCCTGTAGGTGGGTGCATCTCT